ATGGATATCTGGGATGCCGGATCATGCGATACAAGATCGCCCGTATAGAGCGTCCATGCAAGGTGGTCGTCGTGTTTTCCTTTGCCAGTTCCAGTCAGAGGACCAACAGCCTGCAAAGCGGCAAGACCCAAGTCATATGGGGTATCGCACAGGAAAGAGCCATACGCAGAGGCAGAAAGCAGTGGATTGTCCTCGGAAAGGTCGTTGTAGTTATCACTCCGACAGCAGAGGTTAGACGTGCAGTTTGCTTCAGAATTGACGGCATACCGGGCATCGAGATGGAAGTCTGATAGATGTAGTACCTTGACCCGCTCCCCACTTGCCTTGGGGACCTGGGCATCTGCAGGTTTGGGTTTGGGGAAAAGCTTGGTCGTGTCAAGCGGGCTGGTATTTGGCGCGCTGCAATACTTGCTGTTGAGAGAATGGCAGATGTATTCACCATCCAAGCCTTCTACATCAGCGTATGCCAGTACCTGAGTCCAGATAGCGCCGAATGTGTTCGTGGCAAAATCTTGCTCACATGTCTCATCCGCATGGAAGCGAAAGGCCTTGCACAGGCTGACCATGGCATCTGGAACAAAAGCTGGTCCATGCAACGCTGCAGGCTTTGCTGCAGCTAGGGCGTTCTTGCATTTGGTGCAGTTGTTTGCTGAGCTATTCGACTTGATGATGTTGGTCACATTGGATAGTGCTTCCTGAACCAGCTTATACCTCTTTTTGGCAGGCATATGAGTTCGCGGCACAGGGAAATAGACCTCATCCTGATTGTCTGGGATATTGTCGGGATCTGTCAGCTCGTAAGGGAAGGTGAGGTCCAATACCGGATCAAAGATAATGGGCTGGGGTTGTTGGGTTGGCTTGGCTGGGGAAAGGTAGTAGGATCTGTCATTCACATTAGCATATCTATGTGCCTGAGCCACCGGACTGTTCACAGTAATCATACGAGAATGCAGAGGTCGGAAACCCATCAGCAGCCACATAGGATGAGTCTCCTGGGAGGGAGACAGCAAATGCAACATTCAAGATTAGATATGTAGTGCCCAGGAGGGCAAGGAGGGCTCGCATCTTGAATAAACCCGAGTACCCCATTGATGTAGGTAAATGAGATAAACCAGAGCAGAATTGAGAGAATAGCAAAGAAAGGGAAAAAAAGCAAAAGAGGTGGTGTTCCTGGTCAATGTTTACAGACTTGATGCAGGTACGATGCACGTGGCGGAGAGCTTGGATGTGAGTGGAAAGTGATGTTGACAACCCACTCTAGAACAATCATGTTATTTTGATTTGCAGTGACTTACTATCTAGCGTACATAATTTTCATTGAATGGCCAGTCCCTTGAAGACCTTTGATTCAGATACATGAAAAACAATAGGATCACAATTCCAAATCCCACAAGCCTAGTCAAAGTGCCCATATGGTTATCCCGAAAAGGCTGAACCTTGAATTTCTGTTCTGTGACCGCTATATTGTATAGGGCCATGCGACTGAAGGCAGATGCACGAAAAACTGTATCAATTATACCGTTCGCAGTGGTGATGGAGAGACATGTTAACTTCCAGACGGCGGATTACGGGTGTATCCGGGCGGGAGAGGTGATAGTACAGCCGGCTTGAGGAGACGGGAACGACCTGTTCGCGCCCATGTAGGAAAACCTCACATGGACGACACTATCCTGTCCAACATTCCCAAGGAACATTTGGAGAAGACGGAGTATGCACATGGTGATAAGTGGCACCCGAGTGAGACTCAGAAATGTCGTGGGCTGGCGAAGCTTGGGAGCTAGATGGGTCGCGTGCTGTTGAGTGAGCAGACTGGTGTTCTGGAGGCCTAGAGGCCGGGGCATTCAAAGCCTGTTGAGCTTGCCGCTTGAATGGCAAGAGGTGACAGACTCGATTCGGCGACGATGAAGAGTAAGCTGGTGGGTCCAAGAAGCGAGCGACAAAGATCAAATGTATTGCCATATCGCTGTACAGCATAGGTACTGGACTCCCACGTTTCTCCGCATTGAATCAATCAACTTTGTACTTTGTTCATCTGGAACTTGCCAAGTATTCAAAGTGACGAGGACGGCACCGTGGGCACAGAGAAAAGGATTGGTGCGCTGAGATATTTTGCCGTTTCAACCTAGTCATCGAATGCACTTGTACCAAGAAAATAGGTGTCCTGGGATCTTGCTCAGACTTGCTTTTCCCCCCCGCGATGGAATGTCACCATGGCCTGGCACGGGTAGACGAAAACTGCAAGTACCGAGAAGCGCCATAGGTCAAAGGGCGTAGTGTATCACCACCCAGATAGAGAGAGTAAAGGAAAAAAAAAAAAAACTCTCGAGGACGATCGGAAGATCTACCTCTACATCCCAGTTTAATCGTGAGAACCCTTGGAAGATCCACTAGAAGGAGCCTGCACACAGACAAGTTCAACCATGATGTCGTCTGGGCCGTCCGGTGGTGAACTATTGTAAGAAGGGGCGCGACTTATTATGCCAACTGCGACCTGGGAAGCTTGGTTGTGGGCGTTCATGTTATCAAGATACCAAACCTGCCAAGGCCAAGCGCCCGAGCCAGGTGGCATGATGGTGACGTTCCGATCGGGGAGTCGTTCTCTAGCGAAATCTAGGAAGGGTAGGGAGGTTAGAACATAATGATAGAAGAAAGAATAATTGACATACCTTGGACTGGAATAGCCGCGACATCAAGAGTGGGTGGTGGGCACGAAGGCAGCGACGGCGGCTTCCTCAACATTTTGTTGAGAACGACCTCAAGAGGCTTAGAATAGGGCTCGCCCGACACAGCAAGATGATAGATACCATCCTGTAGGGCACTCTTCAGATCACGGGAACAATCATCCCCCCAAATCCCATCACATCCATTGTTCGCCCCAGAAGGGGTACCAGTCAAGTTGCCGACCCTGAGGCCGATTTCCAACGTGCGATTAGAGTCGACAGCATTCACGTTGATATTATTATTTTGATATCCCAGCCAAAACGCCGTCTTGGTCATGGGCCCTGTGCCCTTGCCGGAGGAACTGGCATCAAAGCCATAGTAGAGCGTGACAGGGTCCGGAAAGAGAGGGTTGAGGTCAAAGCGAATTGCAGTTTGAGCGAGTGAGTCGATGCATCCGTTATTCCAGAACGAGCAGAACTGAGCCGATACAGTTTGTAGCAATACCACCAACAGGGCTAGGGACCCGAGGCCCAGATTGAAAGGCATATCCGGTGGGTTAGATGTCCAGCAAGAGTGACCGCGGAGGCCCTCAGAGTCAGGATAATCGAGAGCAGATGTATTGCAAGTTCATTACGGGGAAAGGAGGTAATAAAAAGAGGGTGGGAGATTAACTGATAAATGTCAACGGAAGCCAGGGAAAGTTAGGGAAGAGGGTCCCCGCAAATACCTACTAGGGTCTTTTTAGTGAGGGAAGATGAAGCTAGTCTTAGTGAAAACCGAAGGAAAAAAAAGGGTCTGTGGATGTTATTTCACAGGCTCCCAAGGAGACGAATAATGGAGCTTCCGAGTGAACCTTGGAAAAGGAAGGAAACAGAATGCCGAGTAATTGCCAAGGAGTACGGAATACAAGGAAAGTATTATTTCAAGGAGAGTACGGAGTACGGAGTAGTTACAGAGTACAACATACATTTATTATTAAATGTTCCTCCAGGCATTCCTTTGGAAAGGTGTGATTTGGAAACTCGGGTACCTGCTGGGGTACCTGAAAGGTACTTGATGCATAGTAGTGGATTCAGGGAATGGGTAAGTCTCCTTTAGGTACCCCCTTGATTGGGAAATATTTATTTTCCGCGCTAAAACCAAAAGCCCCCGCATTGATATCCTAAAGGGGAGATTTTTGACGACGATCAGTCACAGGGTAAAGCAGGGTCCAGCCACTTATATGCGACATATGCCTCATAGTTAGGATCAGTTAGGAATTGGTATGTGTACTGTTGTATTGGTATTATATCGATCCTTTCTTTTTTCAGAGTTAAGGTCAGGGATCATCCTCAGATCATAGATTTGCATGACCTCATCTTCATTCCAGATGTTTCATATTAGAGAACGGAACATATATGTACATTCTGGACACGGAGTAATAGTACAGAGTACAAATCACGTATAATTACGTATAATAGCCAATAATACCAATATGAGATCTGTGCGATATGCAGGACGCCGTGGTGCATAGCACCGATTGCCAGATGTGTATAATCCTTGTCTGTCCTCCGATAGGCTTAACAATGCAACACCTCTGACGTAGGAAGAAAGCTGACCAAAAATACTCGGCTCTTGAGAATCTTACTGCGTCATTTGGATTCTAGGGTCTGCACAACTCTCATTGGTGTTGGAATCTTGGGTTCGCATGTCTTTCAGCCAGGGGTCCTTAACTGATTCGGCTGCTCGTTAGCGTGCAATTATGTGTATCGCAAGACGCCGGAATCCACTTAATCCGACAATCCTCCGGGGCTATTTATTAGTTTCTTCCGTCCAAAGATGCTTGAGAATAAAATACTGAGGAAAAATTAAATTTAATCCTATAAAAATAGATGGAATGTCGGCTTACCTACCTAAATCTTCGGTATGCATACAATATGTACATATGTAGTCATCGGGCTGACCCCCCAGGGATGTTCTTCAAAGGTTCCTTACAATCTTCTTGGTCTTCAATTCAAAGAATACCCGAAAATTCAACGAATGCGTGAAAAGGAAGATAACAGGGCGATTTTAGACTGGAGTCACGTAATTAAAAAAATATGAACAAGATATTAATGTATGGTTTTCCAACAATACTAACCTAAAACAACCGCGAGCCAATATTGGGCTGGCGATTTTAGAACAACGCTACCATCTCAAAATGCATCCACACGGGTTCGCAGCACAGCCTGCGACACATTGATTAAAAGAGTCTGCGTAATCTGTCGCTCTCATGCGCGAGGTTGCCGAGCAGCGGAGTAAATTAGCTGCAGGGTATCTCGACCTCGGGGTTTGCGCCTCCTTCAAGTTGTTCAAGTGGGTCATTCATTTTCAGGTGGATCTGAGCACCAAGCACTCCGTACGGAACAGTACTTTGACAGTGTCTTTTTCTCGATGACAGCCGATTCACGTACGAACGGTGCACCAATGCCATGGATATCATCTGAAACCAAGTCGCTACCGCCGGCAACGCCACATTGTTGACGCAGAACATGCCACACCTCTTGCCCCTGCGACGGCTCGGACTTCCATGCTTGGAACTGCTCGAGCTCGACGGGAGCCATCCGCGAATCTCTTGGTCGTGATTGGTGGCCAAGCATTCATTTTTAGCCGCCGTTGGTGCCGACGTCCGGAATGGTCTGCTTATTGGTGATGATCTCCATCTTGTCTGTCAGCTTGCCGATCTCCATGCTAAAAACGATTTGACGGTAAGCGAAGGGGGTTGAGAACTTAATAATGATCTAACTGTAAGGAGTTGGAAGGCTAGTCACGTCAGGGTACATAGACATACTTCAACGCTCGTTTCGGCCTCGGCCGATATCAGGAACAAGATACGTCCAGCAGAAAGTGATGTCGTCGACGCGTCGGAAAACTCTGTGACTTGATTCCCGGTGACCAGTGGTTGCACCCGCAGCGCCGGGTTTCCTCCAGCTCCATAAAATATAGACCAGACAGACAGGCATCGGTGGTGATGGAAACCCCCCAGAAAAAGTACCTAGAAGACAAAGATAGAAGATTGATGCATATTGTACAATTAACCTTTAAATGAGCGTTAAAATGTGCCCCTTGATGTACATCCCAGAGGCTTTGCCTCATGTCAACATATAGACATATACAATTTCAAATATCAACAATCAGAAAAGATTTGTGGGAGAGTTTCGATCATATCCCCACGCCAGAACTCCGCGCTTGAAATCAAAATGCAATGACGGGTATATCACCCAAGCAAAAACAAGACAATCCAAACCAGAAATGGATGTCCATCACGACTTGTCGTTTTCAATGGAACGGTCCTTGCCCTGCAGCCAGACACGCTTCCACGTGCCATCGGGTCCGAAAGCTGCCTCTCGGTCTTGGCGCATACCTTCTAGGACACCGACAACACCACCACTGCGCAGGCGCTCAAGGACAATGTTCATGCCTTCCTTGCTCTTCAATACAGCCTCCTTAGTTCGACTCACACCGATGAGCTCAATGGTCCGCTGAATGCCGGCAGTGGAAAGGGACGAGAAGAAACCTTTGCGAGGCTCTTCATCTTCATGATCACCAGTGTCATGTTTCTTCTTCCCAAGAAGTTTGCCCTGTCCGAGTCGGGAGCGGAAAGTGACCGTAGTCTTGACGCTAGTTTGTTCGGAACTTTTGTCGACGGCGAGACCATCGAGAGTCAGGCGATCCTCCTCGGATGGAAGCCGCTTGTAACATTGCTTCTCAACCACGCTCAGGATGCCCGTCCATTCCATGTTGCGGGACTCGGTCTCCATCCACCCCTCCTTGGCATCAACAATGGTCTTCTCGAGAATATAGCTCTGACCGGAACTGTCTGAGCCTCCCATGCCTTTTGGTAGAAGCTTTAGGATTCCGGATGGGATCTTGGACTTTTTTAGGTGTAGCCGGATTGTGTGAAGACGCTGGGTCTTGGGGTCGACGTATCTGTCGATGACATCTGTTGTAAGGACATGGCGAGAATAAGGATTAGGATAGCGGAGGAAATAGGCGAGGGAGACGGCGGGGAAGGAGTAATCGTAGGTGAAATTGTTTTCGAAAAACTTCATGATGGCATTCGGTGATTCATGTAATGGATTGATTGAGTAGCAGAAAGAGCAAGGAGTCGTCTGATCCAGTACTTTTTGCGAAAGCTGTAGAAGTGGGGCTGAAGAGGATGAACAGTTATTCCGAGGGAAATCAGATGCTTAAGATCACATGTACCTCACGCCTATCATCGGCCCGCAATAGCTAATGTGTATAACCCGCGTATAATCCACTCTTCTTATTTTTCTGATGCGATATAAGAAAGTCAGATCTCGAAACGGATTATATATACAAAGGTTCAATGCTTCATGCTACTTGCTACTTGCTGTGAAAATAAGTACTGGAGAAAAAAACATAATCAAATGATGCCTCATGTCTTCTGCAGATGTACAACCGGAACGATTGAGAAGGGCATGTTATCGCAGCTTTTGTTTGCTATCCTGTGGCCTGGCTTTGAAGAAAAACAAGGAATAATCAATTCCTATTCTGATAACCAAATGAAGTCCATGAGAAATACCGAACCGTCGCCTTCTCCATCTCTCCCTTTCCTCACCCTTCTCACTTCTCCCTCCCTCATTTACCCCCAAAACAAGCCGGTCATATTTCGCAGGACTTGTAAAACCTTCACCGGCATATGCGAAGCAAGCCAACTAATAATTTCCCTCCACTCTGATCATCCTCTCCCTTTACTGTGAACCTGTTCTCCATCGAGAACATCAACACTGCCACACTGCCACACTTCTTCCTACGTCTTTCCGATAAAAAAATGTCACTCCCATCTGGCTGTGGGGAGTGTGGCAAGGAAGGTAGAGTTCTCCGCTGCTCTGGCTGCAAAGCGATGATGTACTGTAGTGTCGAACATCAGACCGCTCACCGCCAAGAGCATCAGTCTGCTTGCAACGCCATCAGAAGATGCCGTGTTGCTGTGGAGAAGGATGAACAGGCCTTACGGGCTCTTCCAGACAATCCCTACACCTATGGTATCGGTAACTTCTGGAAGATCCTCGAGACACGCCCTTACATGCGATCCTGTGCTGCGCTGTGTAATACCATGGGAAAGGTTAGGAATGTTGAATCGTTTGAAGCACAACTTGACCTATTGATGGAAAACTTGCGGCTCTGTCGTGGTGACAACATGGGCTCGCGAGATGTCATCCCCGGCCGGATGATTCGTCTCCAACAGGACCAGGAGTACTACGATTTTCTAAAGTGATGGGCCACGACCCGCCAGAATCACGACTGTGATTGGGGTAACTAACACCACTCTGCCGTACCTTGACATCAAGGACGCCAATCCGCTCGAGCCAGTCGATATGTTCAGTGGCAAGTTGATTGATCTTCCCCATCTCGTTTCTGTGTTATTCAAGGTCAAAGTGCTTCAAGTAGTGCTCACAGGCATGAGACCGGCTGATGAAAGTGTTGCCCACATGCTGGGACTCAGACTGAAACATTCGACTATCGCCAAAAATCCCGACATCGCCCACTGTGAGGACGCATGGCTCGAAGGTGTGAAACTAAAGGCCCAGATTCGCGCTTTGTACGAGGACGTCCATAAATTGAACCCCCACTTTTGGCCGGCCCTTGTGGACGTGAACACTTGGAGGCCAAAACCACGATGTTTTCGGTTGGGAGTGTGGAACAGATGCGAGTGACCTTGAACTTGACCCATGAAGCATGGCAAGAGGCTCCTGGGGCCATTGCTGTTATTCAAATGGCCATCGAGGGTAAACTTTGATGGAGTTTTCCGCAAACGAGATATATTCCGAGGTTTGTATGAGATCCGACGATGATGACAGTCTTCGAGCATTACGCAATCTAAGTTCGGTTACCTGGGATCAAGGATATTTTCTACACAAGTACAGTGCCGTAGCGAATTCTCAGAATAGTCTTTTTAGTAATGAATTTTGAGGTTTTCTATCAGTGTTCCCTTCCAAGAACATCAAGGAAACGATTATATATCCCAAAAGTCAAAGTAACACGAACGTGGAAGACGGTAGATGGTAGAACAGATTTTCCTGGTTATCTTCCATAAAGGAGCCATTAGCCTCTTATACCAACATATATAATTGAATTATCCCACAATGTACCTGCCTGCAAGAGAAAAACCAAAAAATACAGCCTAGAGATGCATATATTATGTACGACATAGTCACGAGCATTCCTATGTTTGCACTGTTTGTCGACCCATGTGGTTTGCGGGTTTTGGTGATGTCGAATCATAAGGGCTGCGATGTTTGCTATGATACTGCCTAGCACCAGATAAACATATCCCACTTCGCGGAGATTATCTACAAATGCCATCGTAATTGAACTTGCGGGGTGAGGTCACCAAATATTCGTCATATGTGGACCCCAAACTCTTCTAGTGACTTGGTTGAACATAGAACCCAACTTGAATCAGGGGAGACAGGCGCCGACGTTGATGTTGGCCCCATATACCGGCCGTGAGTCCCCACTCAGTAACCAAGCAATAGTTCTTGCCACATCCTCGGGTTCGATCAAGGCAAGCCCTTCCGCTTTGTACGATTGTTCAATCTCGTCCAATGTTTTTGCGGTTGGAGCAAATTGCGGGAGCAAGGGAGTGTTTGTAACACCTGGAACGTGTATCTGGTGTCAGCAGGCTGGCAGGGGATTTGGGGAGTTTTGGGGGGGGAGGGGAAACGAAGAGAAGTAGCTCACCTGGAGAGACATTGTTGACCCGAATGCCCTCGGATATTGCATCAGCAGCCACACAGTGTGTGAAATAAGCACAGGCGCCTTTGGAGGTACCATATGCATAGACATCCGGCATGTGAGAATAGCCCGCAATGCTGCCCACATTGACAATACTCCTATCACCCGGAGGAAGGTCCTTCATGGCACGCACCTGCTCACGCGTGCAATAGAACACCCCATTCAGGTTTGTATCCAGGATTTTGTGCCATTCATCGTCCGTCTCCCCTGTGATTGTAGGGGTGCTTCGCAAACCGGCACCCTGAGCTATGCCAGCAACATTGGCGGCTCCGTGAAGGTCACCGAATTGAGACACGACGCTCTGGATCCATTGCGTAACTTGCGCCGAAGATGTCACATCAACGACAGTGCAGTGTACTTCGGTTGAAGGATTAACCTTCTGGATGGAAAGCTTGACATCGTCGAAGCGCTTCGACGAGATATCACAGATTGCCAGAACCGTGGCACCCCGTTCAGCAAGAAGGCAGCAAGTCGCGGCACCTATTCCAGATGCACCGCCAGTAATGCAAAAGATTGTGGATGTGACTCGGGTCATCGTGTAGCGATATTCTCGAAGATGCAGCTCTATTGTGTGACTTCGTGATCTCTTCTTGCACGCTCCTTGTGATTTGGCAAGAGAAAAGTTGGCAGTATATCGTTCAAGTCACCCTACCGGTATCTTATAGCGCTCTTTATAGTGCATAGCTCAAGAGAGTCTCTTGAGATGGTTCCTATTTCTGGCGATACTTTGAGTAACCCTTGCTTGTGGATTCCCATCTCGAAAGATTGCAGAAACAATGGAAGATCATGCAAGGGATAAGTGTCATCTAGAAAAACCTCAAAAAAAAAAGGGTTACAAGTGCAAACACCTCGTTCATTCCCCAAGCAAGGGCGCAGAACGTGCCTATCGCTTACAGGACACAGTTGCCGAGTTGTCACGTCAAGCCGGGAGGTGTGGAAGACGATGGGTATTAGCCAGTGACGACAAATGATGCCGTGAAACGAGAAACTCAGCCAGAGTCGACGAACATGCCAATCAACTGGCCAAGACAACGTCACTATCAATTGAAACTGAGACAGGGGAGGGTGCACTCCACAACTATCATTATATGTTAATTTCTTACGTATTGGTTTGTGGGATTAACAGGATACTACAGGAATGGGCTGATTCCACACTCTTTACGATCAGAATCTGTATATACTCTCTGGGATACACTACATTATGTGGTCCCGGCTCGGCGTTTAGCTTCGAGTTCTTGCTTCAGTTGGATGAAGTGCCTGCATATTCATACGCAACTAGTTAGACTGCAACGGGTTAATTGAACATTGATTGATTGATGTCAAGCCGGGATGAGAAAATTTCAGGAGACCAAGCGTATATTCTAGCAAATTATTAAACTAACCCTACCAATTAGTCCCAAACTTTAGGCTTATCATCAATTGGACTGAACATCTCGAAATATATGCTGAGTCATTCCTGAGGAAATAGCGCAAAATTCGCCTTTGTGGTTACCCTTCCGGTCCAGTACCTGAAGCCCGACAGGCAAGCGGTTTCTTTTACTCACTGGCCATTACCTGATACTTTGCCAAAGGCACTTCGAAAGAGGTAGGATGGCCATGACACATATCCTTGGAGACGGGCTTGAAGGCAGGAGCACCGAAGCTCGCTAGATGAGAAGAGAAGGAAAAAGGTGTTAGAAAGCAACATCACAATAATTAGAGTAGGAAGTTGACTCACAGATGGGCCAATCTCCAGTCTCGAAGGACTGGAGGTAGACACTCAGGTACGGGCTTCCCTTCCGGAATGAGAAAGAGATGTAGGCGTGGAGATAGTTGACATTGTCAAGATCTATATGAGGACTGGATTTGGTTAGATGGGTTGACTGAAAACAACTGTTTTTGACCTACTAGTATGCGCGTAGGCTATCCTTGTATGTCTGAAACATATGGTCATAGCCGTGACGCTTGAAAAATGTGGCTAGTCCATCCGCCACCCGGCCATCGTTCATGCCAAAAGTCGTAAAATAGACCTGTGGTTCCGGCATCGGGTCATCGTGGTGAAGAGTATAATTGGCCATCAGAGGAAGTTGCTCATTTGGAACCTCGCCAAGCTTGAGATAGGGCTCCGGGTACGAGATGATACCGCTGGGAAGGTTGATCAGGCCCCATAATTCACGAATCATCTCCAATCCAGCGAGCGTTAGCGCATCACTTCGTCGGCCGCCCATTGTCCACAGGTTCTCCATCGCTTCCAGGGAGACGTCCATCTCCAAGAGGTATATTTTAATTCGAGATTTACGTGGGTCACAAAGGTCGCAGGATATCAGTCGGGGGGAGGCAGTACTAGAAGTTCCGCGAGCGTGGACATACTCTTCTAGTGCATGGAGAGGCGATAAAAGAGTGGGGTACTGGCGACAAAGACGATGGACAGAGTCGAACATGAGCTCCTGGATAGACTTTCCGGTGGCCAGAGATTTGAGTGCGGGATAGATATACGCCTTTAATTCAAACTCGCCACCCTTTAGGTCCAAGGCCAGTTTGTTTTGTGTTTGAATCTGGCCGCCACCCTTCTTGTTCTCCAGCAAGTAGGCTGCGTCTTGATCGTTGACAGTGAGGTCCATCTTCAGATGCGTGAAGAACTCCAAATCAATGCCCTTCTGTAACGGGAGTAGAGTATCGAGTGCGTCCCAAATGGCGTGAGTGTTGAAGGGATCTTTTAGGGAGCCGGTGGTAGCGGTAATAGGCTCAAAGGTGTACCGAACCACAGAGTGGGTGCAGTTTAAGCTCAGTTCAAAAGGCGTGCCGTATCGAGTGAGAATGCTGAGCCATCGATCGTTGATTTTGGTAGGATAGACGCCTAGGAAAGGAATGATGAACTTCTGGTAAAACCCGAGAGCTTTATACCGAGAATGAATGTCGTATTCAGCAACTTTGAGCATTTCTGCGAACATAGGCGCGGTACTGTGCCACCAGAGCTTCTGATCATGATTGGGAAAGTCCGCAAATTCGGTGATAGTCTTGTATACAAGACTGCCAGAATAATTGGGTGAGTCAACGGAGCCCATGGTGAAGGCTTCTGAGTACGAAAGTACAATTCCTGGGTGGTGAAGTAATTTGTGCTTTTCCCCAGCTACCACGGCTATATCCCTAATAAAAGGGTCAGGTCATCGACCATGACAATCATGGACATCTGTCCAAGTCACACCGAATATTCAAGGGGTGTAAGCCTGTGCAGGGTAAAAGTCATGTGCAGCTTTGATAATGACTGATTGTATCTAAATCCTCGTTACATCTGGCGAAGTACCGTTCATTCCTGCCTTTTAGTTGAGTATGTAGTGGACCTCCTGATGCCTTAGATCTAATCTACCAAGCAAGGGATATGACTGCGGCTGGAGCCGAGTTATGTCTCTGTAGTTTGCCTTAACCCGGAATATTGCACGCTCATCAAATGGCCTAGATGCGTGGCCACCCCTTTTCAGCTCGATACAAGCATAAAATGGTCTGTTTTTAAAGAATTCTGACCCCTGACAAAACAAACTTCTTTTGTTGATGGAAATCCAGCAATAAATCGGCAATGATGTTTCAGCTTATGTGGACTGCTTGTCTGGGTGTTGCTCTCAGTTGGCTGGTATTTGTTCACTACATACAAACGTCATGTCGCTGCCAGCCGTGGGAGTCCTGTTGGCCATCTCGCGAAGAGTGGAACTCATTGAACAGATCAATGAATTTCAACCTTTTTAGGCTAGTACCCACGGGATCAGTCTGTTATCAGCCTAGTCTTGATCCTCACCTGTGTGAGGAAGTGATGCGTATGTCAAGGGACAGTGGATGGAGGGCATCGCAACCCGGTAAGCCTGGTATTTGCATGGGGTACCGCCATGAAATTTTTATTTCTCATCTGACGAGGCCAACCAGGTGCATTGCAGGACTGGATATGGGAGTCAGGCCAGTCCGCTGACGACGCATGCCCATTGGGATCCCAGATGAAGACTCATACCCAATGCCACCAAGGGCGCATTCCTTTGTACTCCGCCATGGTGAGCTCCGCGAAGCATGTTCAAGATGCTGTCATGTTCGCCAAGCGTCACAATCTTCGACTGATCGTTCGAAACACGGGCCATGATTTAGCTGGTCGGTCCAGCTCACCCAACGCCTTGCAGATCCATACCAATCGGCTGCAAGGTGTTCACTTCCACGAGAATTTCCAGCTCCACAGATCTGAAAGGTCTGTCGGTCCAGCTGTGAGTGTTGAAGCTGGCGTCATGATGGGAGATTTATACGCAAAATCCGCTCAGAATGGATACATTGTTGTCGGTGGCGATTGTCCCACAGTCGGAGTTGCAGGAGGATTTCTGCAGGGAGGAGGAGTTTCGGACTTCCTCAGTCTACACCATGGATTGGCCGTAGACAACGCACTGGAATTTGAAGTTGTTACCGCTAGTGTAAGTGTACCTAAGTCAGGTGTCATAAAACAGCGTTTGATTTCTAACCTTGGCAGGGTGACATCGTTCTGGCCAACGCTATTCACAATTCGGACCTATTTTGGGCATTGCGAGGGGGCGGGGGTGGAACTTTTGGAATAGTCACAAGGGTTACTATGCGGGTTTTCCCCGACGTCCCTGCTGTTGTGGCCGAGCTCAGCGTGCAAACATCACATTCTCACGGCAACTATGCCCGAAGCCTTGCTGTATTCTTCAATATCCTACAAACATTGAATCGTGAGAGTGTTGGTGGGCAGCTGATCATGACTGTGATATCTGAGCACTCTATTGAGGTAAAACTTAAAATGTTTTTCCTTAATCAAACCAAAACCGCGATTGTCAACCAACGAATGCAGCCATTTGTTGAAGACATAAGCCGTATCGAAAGCCATGTGACATACGAATCAGCATCGTTGTCGAAACTCAGCATGAATTATCGAAAGGTTCCTGATATTCACACCGATAACGACTACGGTGTTCTTGGGTCATCTGTCGCTATCTCCAATAGCTTATTCAATGCTTCTAATGGGCCTACACACGTGGCTGAGGCTTTAGCACGACTTCCTACACGCCCAGGCGATTTGTTATTCACCAGTAACCTTGGAGGGCAAGTCATGAAAAATGGAGAACTCATGGAGACGTCCATGCATCCAGCTTGGAGGCATGCTGCCCAGCTGATCAACTTCGTGCGGACCGTTGAGCCGACCAATGAGGGAAAAATGGAGGCATTGCAAAACCTAACCAACATTCATATGCCCTTGCTTTATGCAGTTGACCCGGGCTTTCGGTTATCCTATCGTAACGTGGGTGATCCAAATGAAAAGAACTTCCAACAGGTTTACTGGGGACAAAGTTACATCCGCTTGTTACAGCTGAAGCGGCGGTGGGACCCAAAGGGGCTTTTTATTAGCAAGTTAGGAGTCGGTAGTGAGGAATGGGACTCAGAAGGGATGTGCAGGACCAGATGACGATTATGGAAAGAGTGAAGGGATACACTGAGTACAATGAAATACCTGTGGCGTACCGACGTATTTAGTGGTATAGGTATACTCGAAGATGCCCTAGCTCACGCCAGAGATAAGGATTAAAACGAGGTCTTGTCTGGAGTCAACCTCTGTGACATTTTATATCATTTGGCAAAAATTAAACATAAAATAGAGATATGACCATCGATTCACTCATTCGTGACATACGCCGGAGCACATTCGAGGAATCCATCCCCGATCAAGTCAAGGCTGGACTGTCCACGGCTCCAAAAACTCTTCCAGCCCTTCTCTTCTACAGCGGAGAAGGAATCCGGCACTGGATTAAACACTCTACTGCCGCTGAATTTTATCCACGACATGAAGAGTTACGCATTCTACGTGCCCGAGCGGCTGAGATGGTTGAGTCGATTGCCAATAACAGTGTAGTGGTCGATCTTGGGAGTGCGTGAGTAAATGGATTATCTGAAAACCTTCATTCTTGACCAAAATTGTCTAACATTACTGCAAAGGAGCTTGGACAAAGTTCTACCGTTACTGGAAGCATTGGAGGCATCGAAGAAGAACATTTCGTTTTATGCACTCGACCTGAGCTTTTCGGAACTTCAATCAACCATGAGGTCACTTCCATATAAACAGTTCGAGTATGTTAAAATCGGGGCACTGCATGGGACTTTCGAAGACGGGTTGCAGTGGCTTAAAAATACCCCGGAAGTACAGGACCGGCCGCACTGTCTCCTATTGTTTGGATTGACAATAGGTAACTATTCGCGATTCAATGCAGCCAATTTTCTTCAGAGCATTGCTGAGAGCGCGTTGACTGCTAGCCCGGCTGAAAGCTCTATCTTTCTGAGTCTGGACAGTTGCAAAGTTCCAACCAAAGTGCTGCGTGCCTACACTTCTGAAGGTGTCGTTCCTTTTGCCCTAGCGTCCCTCGACTATGGAAACACTCTGTTCGCTCCAAGTAAAGGGGAAAGCCAGGTATTCCAGCCCAGCGATTGGCACTTTCTGAGTGAGTGGAACTACATACTGGGCCGACACGAAGCCTCTCTCATCACTAAGGGCAAGGAGGTCAGACTTGGGAGCCCATTGAACGACATCGTTGTTGGGAAACATGAGAAGATTCGTTTCGGATGTAGCTACAAGTATAATTCAGATGAGCGCCAAGAACTGTTTGGGTCGGCGGGATTGACGGATGTTAAAGAATGGTCGGTTGAGGGCTGTGATGTTGCTTTTTACCAGCTTCAAGTGTGTTCCCATTGAAACATTGACTATTTTTCCGTTCTATTTTTCCTGAATAGTAGGGGATATTGTCATACAATTAGATGCACAGCGGTAGATTGATAGTTTCTGATGTCATACAGGTTTCTCAAAAAGCTCATTGTAAACCTCACCCCTACCGTACTATATCTAAAATAATTTCATTTGTGTGCGATAAATATATGATTCAGTTGCTTCCCAACCAGTTTTCCACGGGCTATACTAATTGTGCCTGCAAGGCAGAAAATACAAGCCTGAAGATATCATCTGCTGTAGTATGCCGGCCCACTTTTCAAGTGGAAGGGATTCCGAAATTGAAGTAAATCAATAATGGGCGATGGGCAAGACTTGCCAACGCAACCTGGAATACTCTTAGGTAGGGGTTATCTCAAAGTCTGGTTGAAACGTCATTCTTCCAGCATGCAGCAGGTGAGTTGTTGCGTCTGTTCGACCAACGTGCCATGCAAAAGGTGATCAGGTAGTATTTTGATACGTGTCTCTGGTCCACCGTGGATGAGTTGGTTACAACAACCTGCCTCCGGTTTCACCACTTGCAGGGTCCACCAGCTTAGATGGTCCATTCCAGTGATGTAAAATATACCAACATCGCAAGAAAAAGAAAAGATGTAGAAGACGTAGCAGCTGATCCTCATGTCTCAACCAATCAAAATTTATAGTCACGTACTTCACATTCCAAGACCCATCCATGTGCATAAATCGAACCCAAATATACAAATAAAAGCCTATAGGTAGCTCATTCAAATGACATATTTTGGCGTTGTTGCATGCTGGACTTGTATCCCACTCGGTATGCGCAGCGCTATGTTACTCGGAATCGCATGGTGTGTAAATTCTACACTCAGACAGAACGAAAGATAGAATTTGGTTCATCCCTTACCTCGAAAATGAAAGCGTGGAAGACACAGTAAGACCTGAAAATATCATATTTCTTTCTACATGGCGAATAAGGCTTTGCAAAACAAGGGTTTGCAGACAAGTAGCGAGAGATAGAAAGGGATGGAAATCTTCAATATCCCGAAAAGGTAGTTTCTGCATGCTTGTACCTCTACATACCTCATCTTAGTAGTATTAAGCCTGGACCAAGCCAGGTTCCCAGCGACACAGTTCACTTTGAAGTCTTTCCATCACAAAAGAAATGGCCCCCAACTATGCAAAGAAGTGCCCAGTCATGGGCCAAGCACCCTCGTCTGGTCACTCCAACGTTGGCCCTCAAGACATCCATACCCTGGAATTATTGTCCCATTTCAACCGCGAAAAGATCCCCGAGCGAGCGGTTCATGCTCTGGGAGCTGGGGCGTACGGGGAGTTTGAGGTAGGTGCAATCTAAATCACGCTCCAACCCGGGATTAGAGATGGAATTAATCCTACCGGTGACTAGGTTACCCATGACATCTCTGACATTTGCAATGTCGACATGCTCCTCGGTGTCGGCAAAAAGACCTCCTTGGTGACACGTTTTTCAACCACAGGTCTGGAGCGTGGATCCTCCGAGGGGGTTCAAGACCTGAAGGGCATGGCTACCAAGTTTTTTACCAGCGAAGGAGAGTGGGACTGGGTCTTCCTCAATTTCCCTTTCTTTTTCATCCGCGACCCTGCCAAGTTCCCCGACATGATACATTCGCAACGAAGAGACCCCCAGACCAACCGACTCAACCCGAACAATTTCTGGGAATTTGTGACCGAGAACCATGAATCCATTCATATGGTATTGCTACAATTCAGCGACTTTGGACGTATGTTTACTTGGCGCACCCTAAGCAGCTACGCAGGACACGCCTTCAAATGGGTTATGCCTGACGGCTCGTTCAAATACGTCCATTTCTTCCTAGCTTCTGATCGTGGACCCAACTTCAAAGATGGTGCCGGTACCATCATGGATTCCAGCGAGCCCGATTTTGCAAGCAGGGATCTGTTTGAAGCCATCGAGCGAGGCGATTATCCCTCTTGGACGGCGAATGTTCAAGTTGTTGATCCTAAAGACGCGCCTCATCTTGACTTCAATATTCTTGACGTCACCAAGCACTGGAACCTAGGAACATACCCCCAGGGTATGGACAAAATCCCTCCTCGGCCTTTTGGCAAGCTTACCTTGAATCGCAACGTGAAGGACTACTTCAGTGAGGTTGAGCAGCTAGCGCTCTCGCCTTCTAATCTAGTTCCTGGTGTGGAGGCTTCCGAGGATCCCGTTCTACAGGCCCGCCTTTTCGCATACCCTGACGCTCAACGGTACCGCCTGGGGAAGTCAGCGCCAAAGCAGGGGCCCCTTCGGACCGTATCGGCTGCCAGAAATCAGACTAGCCTCGGAAAAGACTTCGCTGATTGGGTTGCGCAAGTCTCTTCAGACGTATGGTCTCAGCCTCATGAGGATGATTACAAATTTGCCCGGGAGTATTATGAGGTGCTTCCTGAATTCCGGAGCCAGGATTTCCAGGATCGAATGGTGGAAAGAATCATCGAATCAGTCTCGCAGACCCGTCAGGATATTCGAAGCAAGGTTTATCGCACTTTTGCCTTGGTTTCATCTGAATTAGCCACCCGGGTGCAAGAGGGCATTGAGGGGGTCGAAGCCAGCCAGGGGCCAAATGTCCAATCTAGACTATGATGTTTTATTAGAGACATGCAGCTGCGCCATTCGAGATACACAGGTAGTGTGCTAAGTCGGTGGAAGAATCCCACGGGTCCCATTATATTGTCAAGTTGCCTCGTATAAGTCTCAATATTTTCAGATCTTGTGTTATTTTCCTATAATGAGCGCTCTGTGCGAGTCGAAGAATTTCAACACTTCTTCGCAGCCCCTGCTTGCATAAATATAATCCTCTTTTCGTAAGATACCGGGCCCACTAAACCGCAGATTAATCAATCAATCAATCAAAGATCAATTAACCTGTTGCCGTCTAGCTAGTTGAGTATGACTATGCAGGCGTTTCATCCAACTGAAGCAAAAACTCGAAGCCTAACGCCAGGCTGGGATCTTTCCCAGAGAATATACAGATGCTGATCGTAAAGAGTGCGGACTCAGCCCATTCCTGTACCCCGTAACCTCATAAATCCAAACCCATCCAAACCCATACATAAGAAATTACCACTTCACACACACACACACACACTCTTTCTCTCTCTTTTTCTCTGTACCCTCCCCTGCCTTAGTTTCAATTGATAGTGACGCTTTCCTGGCCAGTTGTCGATTCGCATATTCGTCGACTTTGACTGAGTTGTGGGTTTACAGCATCATTTGTCGTCATTGGCTAATACCCATCGTCTTCCACACCTAGATCCATTGTCGCGAGGCCTGTCGGTTCGTCGTCGTTGTCGTCCTCGGGTGTCACATACTGGAACTGCTGGAGGAGACCTGTTCAGTGCATGAAGTTGACCACATAGCGGACTAAACCGCAGATTCCGTCACCACATTCCCGTTGGCCTTCATACTTGATCATATCACACACGCCATGAAAAAGCAGTATGTCCCGAAAATATTCTAGGCCTTGAAATGCAATCACAAATGTTCCTAAACATATGCAGCTCTCCGTCAGGCTCCCCTCCTTACCTGCAGGTGAAACATCACTCGTATCATTCAGTAAAATACTCATGAACTCTTCACATGCGATGTTTGTAAATCATGACCAAAATGAGCTATGCATGCATCTGCAATGTCGATCTTCACTGATAACCTTAGATCTCGCAGCCCATGTGATTGCATTACTCCATTGAAATACGTAATTGCGCATGTGTTTCACTGTCTCATCTCCCCTTGCGCAATACGGCCTTACCGAGATAGCCGACAACTTATACTGGAATTTTCGATGCACTCGGCCGGCAATGAAAACGCCCCTCGAGATTTGGAACCAACGCTCGCGGGCCCCAATGGGCCCTATGCATACATCAGTCACTGACCTCTATGTTGAGAGTCATGTGAGTCTAGTTCGCGTACCTGCAAATAGTTCCATTGCCCATAGCTCTTCTCTTTCCCGCGCATCTCATCATTTCCCATGATTCATCTAATTTCATCGTAGATGATTCCTTGATAAGTTGTGAGGCCCTTTGCTCACCGAATTACCTTATAATAGACGCTATTTCCACTACTGAACAATACCTTCGAGAGAAAAGCTCGGCCGTGCGCGTCGCGACTGCCGTTGGAGAATTACGAAGAGATTAGTTTCTACTACGTTCCTATTCAACTTCTCTCTTATTAATTTTACCTTCTGTAGTGAGAGATCGTTTTTATGCGTTCCTACATCAATAATCGTCGACCCTATATTCCCCGCACCGTCGAACTTCCTGCCTTCGAGCCGAACGTATACCTACCTCGACGTTATAACTACTATATACCCGATAGTTCGAATATAGCCTATAGCTAACCTCGACGAACCACGGTATTTTAAACCTCTTACTAAGCTAAAAGGGGAAGTAACTAAACTAGAAAGCTTAGAGACCTAGCTTTAAAAATACACTAAATATTGTTAGCCGCCTTTATTAGACCTCTCAATAGCCCACAAATGGGCCCAAGTCGCTGGCCCGCAGCCCAACCCGCAGTGTGCTATGGGCCTAGTCTTCAAAGCCCAGCCCAACTCACATCCCATTAATAGGCGCCCACCAAAGCCCATCAAAAGCCCATTTCTGTGCATAAATATAGTCTTAGCACGCATAAAGTAGCTGATTAATAGCTATATTTTACGCATATACTAACCTGTATATTCAGTATTATCATCGTATTATAGTAAGAAGTAGGAATTAAGTAGATATTATACTGACAGCATTATGATATCAGATTTTATACAAAATTTTATACAAAATCACCCCAAAGAGATTAGGTCTATGTCTAGGTGTTAATTGTATTAATATTACTACTATGTAATTCCCTATTAAAAATAAGTACCCCTTATAAAAAGTAAAGCTTTATAATAATCAACTTTGTATCTTCTAACCAAGCTTTCTCTCTCTTAATCTCTACATTATTCTCTTCTTTATACTTCATCTATCCTTCGCCTTTACTACTGTGAGATAATTTATAAGTTTATAAGAAGAAGGGTTATAAATAGCTTCATATATCGCTCAGCCGGTAATTTCAATATCCTAAAAAACATGGGAAAAATGCATTAATTACATAGTTACGATAAATTGGCATATTTGTATTGTTTGGGGCCCATTATAGGCCCGAGTGGGCCCGACGATAGGGCCCAGAACCCAGCCCATTTGGTGGGTTGGGTTGGGTTGGGCTATAGGCTTTGTGGGCTATTGAGAGGTCTAGCCTTTATATCAAATTAATAGAGGTAAACTTTCAAGGCGATTATTGTACCTTAATATGCGAGTACTAAGAGGAATAATGTAATTTACGTCTGCTAAATATAATAAGTTAACGTCTAAATAAAATCTAGAAACTCATGGTGCACCGGTAATAGTGTGCTATGGGCTCACACAACACTGGTTCGTTCTAATCTAAGGGATTGGAAGGAGTGGATATGAGCCAACCGCCCATTCAAGAAGCTAGGAATGCCTCCAAGAAACGACCGGGTTTTTTTTTTCAGACTCTAGACCGAGTTGCATCGTGTCGAGTATGGTACTCCTACTAGGTATTGATATGTTATTGGCTGGGGCCATCGGCGCCTTTCACTATAACCACCAGAAACTCCTTGGCCAGCACGACCGAGCTAGGCTGCAACGAATACCTAGGTATACAGCGCGCGTTCAATTCTTCTGTTGATCGAAAACATTGCATGTGTGCGAAACATACAACTCGGAATGATTCAGCCCTTTCCGGATACGATACAGACTGAAGTATTTATATCGGCCTACAATCTTTTTTATCAATCATCGGTCAACCTCTCCGGGATATATTGGATAAACGCCAGTGACACTATCATTCTTGATACATAGTCTGGTTGATATCCATATCTCTTTCACTACAAAACTTCAAACCTTGGTTCCAAGAGGATTCTTCAATTATATCCGCACCATACTAGCTGATCTTCATTCTCCCTGACTTTCAGCCAAAATGACGCGCCTGGGAGAGAAATCCGAATCGACTGCCCCTCCAGGCTTATCTGGCATCACAACTATAATTGTAGGCCTGGGCATTGCGGGCCTCACAGCGGCCATCGAATGTCACCGAAAAGGCCATACGGTCCTTGCGTTTGAAAAAGCCGGTCCCGCAAGTCATATCGGTAGTGTGCCCTTTTCATCGGACAGCCGGATAATTTTATTAACTTGTTCTTTGAAAAGGTGACATTATAGGCGTTGCTAGCAATGGGGCATTGGTCTTGGATCGATGGGGTCAAGGTGCGTTTGCAAAGGAGTTGGACAACCTCCGAAGTGATGTAGGGTGCATTGAATTCCTGGACGCCAGCGGAAAATTGCGTTCCAGCTCGAATATGACCGGCTTTGGGGTCAACGAAGGCTACTTCCTGATGCGTTCGGACTTGGTCAAGGCCATGTACGACTACGCAAAGTCCTTGAGAATCAGCATGCAATTCGACTGCCGAGTGACTTCGTACTGGGAAAAAGAAGACCGCGCAGGTATTATTGTCAATGGAGAAAGAGTCGAAGGCGACTGCGTCATAGCCAGCGATGGAGTCTACAGCAAAGCACGGGCAGCTCTCAAAGGGGACAAATACCCCTTGATCGGGCTTGGCTCCGTTATGCACAGGTCAGGTGGCTTTCCGTCCAAATATCTTCGAACCGCAGAGGCAGCTCAATGGTTATTTAACACGACCGAGAAACAAGACCGAATGCTTGAAATCCTCCACGAGGAAACTATTTTCTTTTTTGGAACTTTTCAAAGAGGAAAGGGGGTCTACTGGGCCTGCATGCACCAGGTCAGTAACTCATGTTGATATATTTTCTCGGACAGAAACACTAACTTCTCAGACCTCTGAGCCGATTGAGGATTCCTGGGTGAAAGCTTTGGACGCCAAGGCTGTGCTTCAAGTGGTCAAGGACTGGCCGATATGTAGCAAGCTGGAGCCCATTATAACCAGCATACCAGGAGGGAAGTGCTTTGAACATCTGACCATGACCATGGAGCCGATGGATAACTGGCGATCTGCCCTGGGCAGAATTATGTTGATTGGTGATGCCGCGCATCCGGTACTCCCTACTACTGGCCAAGGTCTCAGCCAAGGCATTATGGACGGGGCAGTCCTCGCCATATGTTTGGAACTTGCTGGAAAGGACAATGTGCATTTGGGTTTGCAAGCGATGGAGATGATGAGGTTGGTTGCTCTTCGGTTCCAGATTATGCAGGCTACCACTTGGTTGGAGACGACTGACCCTAGTTAGGATTAAGGAAGCTAGCCGCCTACAAGAGTACGGCGTAGCGCTAATCAGACGTCTTCAAAGCCAAAAATGGGAGTGTTTGGATCAGGAGCAGGAGCTTGTTCCACGGCCAACGTGGGTCTTTGCGCATGATTGTCAGGAGAGTGCCTACGAAAACTTCGCTGCGGTCACGCAGGCCCTGGAGAGAGGTGACGAGTATATCCCTGCCCATGTACCTGATGGCACGTCATTACCGCTCACTCAGGAACATGAGCTCGCGGAACAAATAAAGGCTTTAAGAGAGAGAAACAACCTCTACTGCCACTCTACATCCGGGTAGGGTCAGGTTACCGTGCCATGGACGTCTAAATCGCCGTTGAGACCTGAACTACTGGAGGTCACGGGACATTTGTTTACCAATATTGAGACTGAGATTGTATTTGCCGATTGGAAAGTGCCCTTGCTTCTATCATAAAACCATGACCATCATTCTAAATTAAAAATTTCTCACGTGGTTGTCGGATATATGCGGATCGCTCGACTGTGTTCCTCCACTTCGCCTATAGGGATTTACGAGATCGACTTACAAAGTCGTTTAAATTAGACGCGAACAGTTTCATCGCAGCCTATAACACTTATTTGACTACTTTTAGATTTGTGTAAATACTTTTCCATCGGTAACTCAGGTCCAAGAATCATCCATCGACGTAAATAGATCTGCCACCTGATAAGATCGTTGGTAGACTCGTTGACTATACAGCTGATCGCATACGGCTGATATCTCTCCACGAACGCCCTTAAAACCAGTGCTCAGTGGCACTTTCGACTGGAGGAACTTCAAGTAGAACTTGAGGTTGTAGACCATGCATGGGTTAAAAACTCAGATATGGATATGGGCTGAATATGCGGGAGTGCAGTATTCATTCGACCTTGTCGTGGAAGCTCCATCTCTCCGTGGATCAAGGCCAGGCTCATGTAATGGGTCAGCCACTCCACCATCTCCGAGTCATAATACGCCTCCTGAGACTGTGGAACTGGAGGAACTTGGTTCTTCTTAACCCGATCGACGCTGACATACGTCACATCGAACTTTTTACCTAGACAGCAAGCACGTGTTAGCACTATACAAGCGAGGAGGGAAATAGGAATCTCTCTCCCTCGCCGTCTGAATGGGGAGCTTACCTCGAAGCCTCTGTGCTTGGTCCAGTATCTGATTGAAAGTAATATCGTCCCCGCTAAAATGGCAGGTCTCGGGCCACGATTCAAGATCGAGTAGGCCCACGATGAACCTTGCCATATCATACGAGTAGGTAACAGTAAACACATCATTTCCATCCCCGGGAATGAGAGCTCGAGCACTACTGATCTCGACACCAAAACCAAAATACCCGATATGGGTTCGTGTGTTCGGCATACCCCAATAGTCCATGAAAGTACCCACGAAGATCCGGGTGTATTCCAAATTCGCCTTTTTTAAAGCCTTCACGACGTCGATGAAGTACTGGCCTTCAGGATATATGTCTGGGGATCTTGGAGTGGTATATATATCAGCAACTCGGGCTCAAACCTGGTAGAACAAAAGTGAGAGGAAGGTGTCGGAAAAGAAAACTTCCCGTGAAGTAGTGAAATCACAAAGAGAACTTACGCTTCGTGAGGAAAAGAGTATTCACTAGGAATGAATCGTCTCGTCACCACCGATCTTTCGCAAGCTTTTATCAGATCTAACTCTGCCTGGAATGCCTCGACCGAGCCAACTCCAAATGTGCAGATGACTGTGTGCACTTGATGGGCTTCAAGCTGCGTGGTAGTCGAATGAACATCATTGTAGTCGACCTTGATCTGGGTCGTTCGATTTAGAAGTGGTGTGGACCGTAAATTCTGGGTCTATTAATATCACTCGGAATCCATAAGGTAGGAACGAGAACCCCTTCTCACCCGAGTTAGAATAACTATTTGGCCTTGGTATTTGGAGCTCTCTAGCAAAGTCTCTAAGATAGTGATCCCAACTGGACCACATCCGGCGATTGCAATAGTCATGTTTGCTGGTTTCCTTAGAGTAAGTAACTTGCGCTGATAAATTGCAATGGCAATGGTGGTTTTAGAGTTCGAGAATGATGATAGACAACGTCCATTAAATATGGCAGAACAACTGGTCGACAACCAAATGGTCAATTGTATCTATTATGAACAATTCTTTCATGATGGACGTGTGCCTCCAACTAGGGACCATAGATAATGCGAGGGGCTTGATGCCGCAGAGAGAGAAAGCTGCATGTTGCGGTGTGTCTACCCAGCATCGTACATTTGACCGGGAGCGCCTATCCGGATGGGATCGTATCAAGAATACTGACCTGGTTCAAGGCCCTAAAAATCACGCGTTAAGGGTAGCCGGAGTGGAACTGGAGAAATACGTATTCTGCAGTTGTGGGGCATTAATGATTCGAATAAGCTGTCGGGCTGACTTGAGGTGTGGTTAAGGGAACCCCGAAGAGATCCATAGAAAGGGCGGTGTATTGAGCTTTTGCTGCCTGAATATTATTTAACCCCGGAATTTCGATCCGGGCAAGGTCAGACTACGAATGCAAGGCTTTGCTGGTCGGTATTCGAACCGTATGTCTTGGTGAAGTGGCATCTCTTGGGGTTTGGTGGAGATGGTGGGCAGGAGGATATTTGTTATTCGAGAAAAGTATGTCGCGAGTCAAATTACGGTAGAAGTCATCAGGGTATCTTGTTTCAGTTATTTGTACATAGCGCTCCTATTCAATAGCCTGAAGTACGTGCCAAATCTATCTATCAATCAAACTGCTGGATTCTTTACATTCTGATCACGACATGAGATAGCATTCAACCCTGTATTCACAAGATGTAAATTAAGGCAGCCGAGGCAGACCGGTGTAGTTGTGACGAGAGGGCTCTCAAACACTAAAGCATATCATTATGCAGTGTCCGCGGTATATCATTCCGCGCACGAAATTATGGGAGCAACTGGATAGAATTGGGATCGGATTCACAGAGATACACTATGACAAGATCATGTCTAACCGCAGGCCATCCACTACGTAATCAACTTCATGCACCAAACAGGTTTTCTCCAATAGTTCCAGTATGTGACACCCGAGGGGGAGAGCGACGATGACGACGAACCGACAGGCCTCGTGGCAATGGATCTAGGTGTGGAAGACGATTGGTATTAGCCAATGACGACAAATGATGTTGTGAAACGAGAACTCAGCTAGAGTCAACAAGCCTGTCAGTTGAATGGCCAGAACAACGCCACTATCAGTTAAAACTGAGGCAGGGGAGGGCATAGAGAGAGAGAGTGTGTGTGTGTGAGTGTGTGAAGTGGGGGTTGGAAGGTGGAGGGTGCACTCCACAACTATCATTATATGTTAATTTCTTATGTATGAGTTTGGATGGGCTTGAATCTATGGGGTTACGGGGTGCAGGAATGGGTTGATTCCGCACTCTTTACGATGGGCACCTGTATACTCTTTGGGATACACTACATTATGTGGTCCCGGCTCGGCATTTGGCTTCGAGTTCTTGCTTCAGTTGGATGAAGCGCCTGCATAGTCATACGCAACTAGTTAGACTGCAACAGGTTGATTGAACTTTGATTGGTTGATTGATTGATCACAAGATGTAATATGACCAGGTCGATAATATGTTGAATGTGACTCTATTCATCCAAGTAGGCATGGAAAACCTTAGCCACAATTTGCCACTTTCCATCCACCTTGGCCAGCGACATGAAGTCTGTGTACTCATACTCAGGCGCATCGATGTCCATTTCACATTTGACGACTGCGGTACTTGGCGTCATACCGATAACACTTAAGTTCACGCTAAAAACTGGAGGCTCCTTTTGTGTCTTCATATAGTTCAAAATAAGGTTGACGCTTCCTTCTTGGAACTTGTCCTCGATGTAACCATAGACAGTAGCGGTGTCTCGAAAACCCTTGGACGTGTAGGCTAGGTCTCCCGTCCGCATGCCATCAACATAGATGGCAGCCGCGTCAAGCACCTCGTTATATTGCGAGGCGGGAATCGGCTTCAAGCCTCTTCGGCAAGGCTTGCTGTCTGGTCCCGTCCTATAATAGAGACAATGAGCTGCTGGGGCTCTAATCATTCTTTTATAGCCATTCGTGGAATTTTTTACTTGCATGATTCTCAAAGTGGTAGATATTTTCCTTGATCTTAGTAGATGCGGGAATTTGGAAACGGCTTGTGGCGGCTTTGTGATTGAAGTAGGTCTTGTGAGGGACTTGAGGTTTTATAATAACTGCTCAAGATGCGCTCTGCGCCACCTCATTATATGAGAGCTCTGCATTAACCCAGACCGCCTCTCTGAGGGATCTTTACTGCATCGAGTGACTTCCTATACGGGTAAGGCGTGTTGGTATTGCCTACTGTGGTTTGAACAGCATACATTCCTAACTTCTGCATGTCTTAATCAAAGTCTCCACTTGGATATGTATTGAATAGATGCTGAGCAGACACGCCGTAGACGAGGCAACTATGTAGTACTAGGTAGCAGCCCAACATTCCAGTCAGAGTCATGAGACATTATACCTGAAACCCGGACACTTCCTTGCATAAATGTGCAAGCCCACTGGTTCTCCTTACCTTGAAATCCGTCAATTGACCTCGGCCAGGCCTTTTCCGAAGGACGTGCAAGAAACGAGAGGTCAGGGAGGTCTCTCAATTGCCTTTAAAGAGTTGCCCCGGGATACATTTTCCTCCTCACTGTGTCGAGGCAGACCATTATCACAGCAAGTCCAGGAAGATGACGGAGACAGACTCTCTTGCCCTTGTCTCTAAAGGAGAGACCACGCATAACCAAGGGGACTCCCCGTATGATGTACTGAGTCGGTCTCTCCTCTTCCACGATGAAGCCCATCGCACATGGTGGGAGCAAGGAGGGTCCAAGCTTGCTGTCTACCTGCGCCTGGGAAAGCACAGTATTGGATCTCAGTATCGCCATCTGCTCATGTTTTACTCGGTGTTCGCATGCAACCTGGGTCCATGGCCCAACAAAACACGAGACAATATCACCTGGTTTTCCGCAATTAGCCCTCGAGGTGAGAACCTCGAATTGAGCATGAATTACCAGCGAAATTCGAAATGTACGGTTCGCATTGCTGCCGAGACCACCGGCCCGCTGGCCGGTACAGAGAAGGACCCGTTCAACGTGATCGCCGAGAAAAGGATGGTCAATGATCTGCGAGCTTTTCAGCCCAACTTGAATCTCGCATGGTTCAATGATTTTGAGCGTGAGGTCGTGGTACCTGATGAAGTTGCGAGGAAGAATAGGACAGCTTCCGATAATTTCAACGCCAAAAGTCAACGATTACATGGACTGGATCTGGCGGAAGGGTCCTTCATGCTCAAATCCTACTTTATTCCTGTTATCCGCTCCGCCATCACCGGAGTAGAGACGGCAAAGATCGAATTCGACTGTATTCGCAAACTCGGGATCACTAACACAAACTTCAATACTGCGCTCAATATACTACAGGATTGGATGCTGCCCACAGGTGGTCGTTTCATGCAGGACTGGGATGGAGTGTCTTATGATGCGATTGATGCCGATAAAGCACGGATTAAGGTCTATACCGGGATTCGTGTCAAGTCGCTGGAGCACGTTCGTGAGATCTGGACCCTCAATGGGAGGCTTCAGGGAGATTTCATCGACAAAGGATTCAAGTTGGTGACAAAGCTCTGGAAATCCCTGATGGATGAGGACTTTTCCAATTCCGAGGTCAAGAACTGTATGCAATGGGTATGGGAACTTAGATCTGACGTCGACGTTCCTGTTCCAAAGCTTTACTTCACTGTTGCAGAAACCGAAGATCATCATGTTTCCAAGGCAGTGGTAGAAATATTGGAGTACCTTGATTGGCACGAGCATGTTCAAACACATCTCACGTTGATGGATGACGCTTGGTAAGAGGCCCATCCTTTAAACTGACTCTGGTGGTCCAGCTCCTAACGAAAAGCAGGTCATTGGATCAAACCAAAAAGAGCTACTTTGCTTTTAACTATGTTTCGGTAACGTATCACAACATCAAAGGCCCATATATCACAATCTACGGAAACCCAAGTGGGCCAAGACCAGATATTGATGAAGCTATCCCTATTACAGGACAGGTATTTTGAGCTAGAAGCGGATAATATCTTTGTATGATAAATTTTTTTATTATATAAATATGGTATTATTGATTTGAATCTACTCAAATATAGAGTCTAATTCGAATTTAATTATAGTGTAACAATTAAATCAAAAATCAAATTATAAATGTGAAAGGTAGTGCACTATTATAAAGAATATTTTTTTTTTGATAGATTTACGTTCTAGATACCTTTATATTATATTCGCCTATATTAACTGATTCTTAGTGTACTATATATATTACATATCCCATCATCATTAATACAATCCAATATCGCGGCTGTAGGATAGGATTGAACACAATGATTGAGACTCAAGTTGTAAAATTTCGAGGGCCAAAAATGCTTTTCGCGGGTTTCCGATGGGTTCTGCGGGTCATACTCACTTTCTCCTTATCTCGCGAGATAATGTCTCAGAGTCAGCATCCTGATATATATCTCTCATCGCTCACCCATCGAGGTTGTCTGTTGTTTGGTTAGAAGCGATCAAATTGAAATCTGACCTTTGTCACTTGCTTGGTGCTGCCTGGCGTCCTAACTAACTTCTTCTAAGCTCTTTTATACTTATAGGCTCCTACTATATAGAATATAGGCCATTCTTTTTTTTTTTTTTTTTTTTAAAAAAAAAAAGATAATTCTCGATATAAATATAAATTATTTATCCATTCTATTATAGACTATATTATATAAAAAACTATATTCTTAAATATAATAGGGAATAATAATAATATACCTATAAAAATAGTATGTTATCTAATTAATTTATAATTTTATATAGCTAAAATAGGAAATCCTTAGTAAAGTAATACTAGCGTAGGGCTATATAGGAGTCCTTTTGGTCCTATAGGGGTTGGCAAGGTCTAAATTCGGTACGTATAAGTTCATACATAACCAACTTCAATAATCAGATTTAGCTCGCAATGATAACAAGGATAATATATTAGGATAAAACTACGTTGCCTTTTTTTAGCTATCCTCTGTGGATGTCTTGGTGTTCTGGTCAGAAGTATGAAAATGATTGACTGAAATGAAGAATTCACGAGGTAAAAAGCTCAATTACTTGTATAATATGTGAGATAATTTCGAATTTTGAAGGCAATTGTAACCTTTTTAGCCCAATAGGATACCTTAGTTTAAAGACTTATCCAACTCGGGCCCTTTTGTAAATACCAACCCTCAGAGCTTTCCTAAGCACGCATAGGTCCACCCGTGCGTGGGTCCCGAGCTTCGTTGGAATCTGGATCTACCCCTCACCTTGAAATAATTGCATTCTTTCGCAGCTCACCATGGGGATGAAAGCTCGCTGCCAATGTGGCAAGATTCAATTCACAACACCGACAGATAAACCTCTGAAACTCTGGGTCTGCCACTGCACAGAATGCCAGCACCAAAGCTCGTCCGCGTTCGGCATCACCGCAACATTTCCGTACTTCGAACTCCCTGAGTCAGTCTCCAGTCTAGTCAGCAGTTACACTCGCGTCACCCTAAAGGGGCGAGATATGGAGTGCCTTTTCTGCAAGGAGTGTGGTGCACGACTTTTCCATCGCTTCCGGGATACTGTACCTGCACCAGGCCAACAGCCCGCATTTTCTGCAATTACCAATGTGAAAGGTGGCTGCTTGGAGGATCTAAATAAGGAGATGCTGCGAGGCGCAGTTCATATCTGGTGCCAGGAGGCGATTATTGATATTCCTGAAGGCGTGGAGAAGTGGGATCAGGGACCCCCTCAGCCAAATCCTTTGATGACTTAGGTCTCTTGTGTTTTGAGAGCGACGTGAAATGTATCCAAACTGATTCATTTGTTTATTCCCAAACAGTTACAAGAAACATGTGCATGTCAAAAGAACTACGAACACTTTGCAGAGAAACACGGCCATAGCTATACCCCCGTCAACGAGCTGTCCAAGATCTTGCAGTCTACCCAACGACAGAAGTCCAGCCATTATCAATAGCGATAGTTGCGCCGTTGATCTGACCAGCGCCCTTTCCATATGTCATGTTCACACAGAACCCAGCAACCTCATTCACATCGACATGGGGAGCTTGAATGGCATTGAGGACATTTATCATCTTCTCGTAACCCTCCATATGCATCCCAGTGCTGAACGCATCAGCAATGTTGGTTTCCATGCCACCCATCATCAAAGCGTTACACTTGATGCCCTTGTTGCCATAGTAAGCAGCAGTGTTCTTAGTCAATCCGACAAGACCATGCTTGCTGGCAGTATAGGCAGCACCTAAAAAGAATTAGTCAATCTCAGATATAGTAGAAACCTTTCACTTTCGTTAGAACATACCACTAGCCCATCCAGCCTTTCCGGCAACCGAAACAATATTAATAATGCGCCCATCAGGCTTCGGCTGCGCCAGCATGTTGCGAACAGCCAATTTGCTCAGCAGAGCCGGGGCAGTGAGATTAATCGCCATGACGCGATCCCAAAGCTCCATATCCAGATCGCCGATCGGGTCGAAGTGGTCCATGATGCCGGCGTTGTTGATCAGGACATCAATTTTGCCGAATTCGCCAATCAGCGTTTCAAACAGGCTCTCCACTTGGTCAGTCTTGGTGATATCGGTCTTAATAGCCTTCAGGGGCCCCTTGGATGACAGTTCAGCCGAGGTCTTCTGTAGACGTTCCTTGTTCACATCGCAAATTACGACGCTGGCGCCAGCTTCGAGGAATTGGGTTGCAATTGCTTTTCCTAGGCCGCCGCCACCGCCAGTGACGAGACATGTCTTTCCCGCAAGGATTTGTTCAGGCATTGTGAGTGATGATTATGAATAGATAGGAATAATGATATGATTGAGTCTCGGCAGCGTCAATTGGAATCAAGACTGAAGCCCGTTTAAATATTCTCCATTTTGGCGACGGAAGGCCTTCTACCCGCTTTCCGCTCACCTTGGACACGGTGGAATCCACTTTGCGCTTGATAGAGCCGGCTCAGGGGACCACATTTTCTGGGGTACGGCTGGCCTTAAAAACATCGGACCACCCATGGCAGCTGGCGTTGCCGAGTGGTAATTTTGACACCAACGGATACGAATGCGGGTCACCATATGGGTCTGGACAGCAGTGAGATGCGGGCTGTGTGCATGTTTATTTTAGAATTAGAGATGTACAAAATTGTAGAGGATCAAGTTTAACCAAGAGGCTCGGGCAGCTTTTGTGATATGTTGAATGAAAATCGAGTTCGATTGAGTATTTAAGCTTCTTTTCGCCTGTTGGCCTATAAAATGGCGTGCAATACACATCCAGGTAACGGGTGTAAGATTGACTTGATGCACGGTCCTCCATAATCACGTGAGCTTAATTTCCGGGAGTGTGTCTATCCGAGAGCCCTAAGCCCTTGTTTCCTGTTTAGTGCATATCTCTACGTACATAGTTACTCCGTACATTTCCCTACCTACATTGTAGTATACAATTTTGGCTGCAGTAATTCAGAATAGAGCTTATGAACAAAACCAACTCCCACACCATCAACCCATGTTGTGTCATCTTTACAGCCCGTGGATGCATGTTTGGAAGCCTCTCGATGGTGGAGCCACCAGCCTAGAGCAGCCGTTCATCATGTTCCTTCTCTTCATCATTCAAAGAGAACACGAGACCATAGAAGTACAGCCTTGAGGGCTGTGGCGGTAGGGGAAGCGGTGCGAACAGGAAGGCGCGGCCCCAAGGGCTTTTTGTCTACATTAGGAGTTCCCGTTTATGGCCTAGGGGGGCCTTATTCCATTCTGACAGTTTCTTTCCCGTTGTTAGTATCGATATTGGCATTAGCACAATCGTCGATAGCACGATGGCACATGGTGCGTGTGATGGAGGAAGTGATTGTATGACCAGCAGTAATAGAGGCTTGTATCTCAGAAGAAGACACTTTGATACAACATTCAGGATATGTGGGAAATGGTAACCAAAGAAAAAAAGAAAGAAAGAAAGAGCAGCGCTAGACTATGGTATGACAGGCGCGGTGATAATGAGGAAGTACCATTCGACCTATCCACTCATTATGTGCCAACGCATCAGTCACCAACACCAAACATCAAACGGTCCATAGTTTGGCTACCGTAAAATTATCGATGGATCGGGAGGGCGCGACGTCTCCAACTGTGAGTATAACCCCCCTCCATTTTCTCTTTTTCACCTCTTCGTCTTCCAAAAGGTTCTCTGCTGCTATCTTCTGGAACCGGTGATATGCGAGTGATATGCAACCGGGCGATGCTGTTGGTGGTTACGGCTACCGTTCAAAGATAAATAAGGTGCTATTTGGATTAAACGATATTCCGAAACGTCAATGGCAGCATGTTGGAAGGCCACTTTCGGTATTTCAAGTTGGTGGAATCTGGCAGATTTCCATACGGCCTATTCCTGATTGCTACCTTGGGTGACTATGGATGTTGACTCTGAGAGAATATGCGCGTGACATCCTCGCTGTCGTACACAAGAATATTCTAATATTCGACTCGTGTACCAGGGTCATTTTTCGTCCAATCCACCTACAAAGTGCATATGTAGGTAGATATTAGTAGAATGCTCCTGCCTTCGTATTTCTATTAGTTACAGTTCTCCATCCTTGAACTCATAGATCGTGTAACACACGCCAAACCCCCGGGTCAGCTCCACGAACCTTATCGAATTGGTTAATTGCCACCGACAGCATTAATGATTTCATTCCAAGCCTTATAGGTTAGTGCATGTGCATGGACCTCGCAAGCACGAGAACATCGCACACACTTCAAACCTTGAGACACAGAAGAGACACGATGCCCGAATCAAGGACAGCCAGAGCCGAGTGTAAACTAGAATCTATGTACAATGACGCCCACCGCCATTCCGCGGTATAGATGTCCTTCGAGAATATTTTTTTAAGAAATCGACAGATCACCTAGTGGCGGGGACGCGCAAAGCCAACTAGCGGTCTGAATCTACGATCAACCCCCCACCCGGCATCATCAAATCAGTGCTAAACCCGAAACTCACAAGCCACAGCGGATGGGCACTAGATCCCACTACCGGTGTACATTGTACACGCCGAGGTTTGTCGAGAAGGGTGGTATGATGTGAGAGTTGACCTATTTAATCAATATTAGTGATATCAAGGGTAGACCTCTGCATAGCCCATCATTTCTATGGTCAATTGTAGTAACACTTATAATACCTCTACTTACTATATAAACCCCTAATAAAAATAAGTACCTCTTATAAAAAAGTAAAGCTTTATGAAAATCAAATTTGATTCTTATTTTTCGGCCTCCTAGTATCACCCCTAAAGAACAGGGTATTAATTATATAGCTGCGATAAATTGGCATGTTTGTATTGTTTGGTTAATAATGAGGGCCCATTATGGGCCCCAATGGGCCCTATGGGCTCCGTGGATGGGCCCATAGTCGGCCGATGGGCTCGAAGGTTGGGCTATGGGCTTTATGGGCTATGCAGAGGTCTAATCAAGGGGGTTGTGACTTTTTTGGTCGCGGGCAGAGATATCGTAAGGTTTGTTTCGAAGATTGGCCCACTCAGTTCGGAGATCTTAGGGTAAAGCAATTGTTCTAAGTTACCTACTAGCCCGTGGAGAGGTGTTCGACCTAGTGGGAAAAGTTTATGCGGTATAACATGCGGTATGGACTTGGCCAATTGCGTCTTGTCGTGGGGCTACGGAAAGGTAGTGGGGGGGGGGGGGGGGGGATGGTTTTCATATTTAGCGCCGAGAGATTTCATCGTCAAAAGTTATATGAAGAGAACAGCCCTGGGGCTAGACTTTATTTCTAGTATGGAAAGTGGGGAGCGTGTTCTACTATTTTTTCAACTTCACTATAGCGAACCGTGATCGTAACCAACGGTGATCATGTTTGTCTGTTTCTTGTTAGGCAGTGCTGTGGCCTATAACATAGTCATGATTATTTATCGTCTTTATTTTCACAAGCTCAGCAGGTTCCCAGGACCTCGCCTTGCTGCCGCAACAGGGTTGTATGAGATTTACTTTTCTGCCTGGGGACCTGGCATTTTTGAGTATGAGATTGACAATATGCACCGAAAGTTTGGTATGTCATCTAATACCTATAAAAAAAAAGTTATTGAATCTGACCCTTTCCAGGTCCTGTTGTTCGTATTACTCCCGATGAGATTCACATCCAAGAGCCGTGCTGGACTTCCAGCTATTCCGATGGCTGGATCAAAGGTACCGGAGAGCTGGAATCGGGCCATTATCAAGGTCGCAGCGTCCATAGTTCCCAGTACAAGAAACCGTCAATCTCCCGAGCACGACCTCTGCTTCGGGTAGAGGTCAATCATATTATTGACACCTTGATTGAGAAGCACCAAGTGCATAGGATTTTTAGCTCAAGGATGCGATGTCGGGTTAAACTTAGCTTGCGAGGTATCTCCGTCAGTTTCTCCGACTGGCTGAACCTTCTTTTCACTCCAGGGAGAGACAAGAAATAGTCCAAACCCGTATTCTGGACTCCCAAGGTGGAGTCAACCAATGCACTCGAATGAATGGGTTTCGGGGTTGACACATGAAGGTTGACAAAGACCCGATGGGAGTTAACCCCACGAAAATGTGGAGTCCGGCTCTTTTTGAGGCGAGTGGATGGTAATTCTACCAATAGCATGTTCCACAATCCGACACGAACTCGTATCTCGGGGTTCAATGCATCTCGACAGTGTCGGACTTTATTGGGGATAAAAAGAACAAAGAACAAAGAACAAAGAACAAGAGGCGAGAAAATTAACCTTGGAAGATCCAAGGTCAAAGAGAGGAGTTGAAGCTTTTTTTTTTTTTCGTTGAGCGTCTAAACGCCCCGCTTCTCCGATTCTGCCCTTGTTTAAAAAATGCCCAGAAGCCACTTACCGTGATCAATTCCTCATCTGATTTTTGTCCTCTCACATCTCTGCGCACACATCCTATATTCATTGAATCGCCATGGTATGTTCGCCCCCCCGGTATGCTCTATGCGAATTTCCTGATCCACTGCAAGCCCAGGGCGCGCAGATCCCTGCAGACTGAAACACAGCGCTAACACAATCGCGCCTAACAGCCTCACGCCGATTCCTCCTATTTCATGCCAGGTAGCTCCAAGGCCGATATATACGAACAGCTCCTGCTGTCAACACAAGGTCTTCTGGACGGCCAGCGGAATTGGGTTAGGTGAGTCACGACAGCTCAATCACAAATACGCGCGCTTCAACAACCGCGCGAACCCTTGAAAGCATGGTCGCTTACGACCCACCAGCAACCTCTCCAATGTCTCTTCCCTGCTTTGGCACGCCTACGCCTCCCTCCCCGCCCCCTCCTCATCCGTCAACTGGGCCGGATTCTACGTTCGCGACGACAAATTCCCGGCTCTCGCCTCCCCGGTCTCCTCGCCGCCATTGCCTGGCGCACCCGGTTCCGGTGGTGTGATTATCTCAACTACATACTCTTCCTCGGAGAACCAGCTTCTTCTCCTCGGGCCGTTCCACGGAAAGCCCGCGTGCCAGGAGATTCGTTTCGGCAAGGGCGTTTGCGGCACTGCTGCCGCGAAGCAGGAGACTGTTATCGTTCCTGACGTTCTGACTTTCCCTGGACACATTGCATGCGACGCAGAGAGTCGTAGTGAGATTGTTGTGCCTATCTTGGTCAATGGAGAGGTTAGTGCTTATTCCCTGGCGACCCTGACGCATTTTCTAGAGACAATCAGGTTTGGAGGAACATGCTCACATCTTCATTAATAGACCGTCGCTATTATTGACATTGACTGCACCGAGCCCTCTGGATTTGACGACGAGGACAAGAAATACCTTGAGAAATTGGCCACCTTCCTGGCTGAGAACTGCGACTGGTAAAAGCAAATGTAATATTCTTTATCTTTTTATAATGCTTACGAAAGACACGGGCTTAAAATGAATTTTTTTGGTTTATGATCACGCATCTGAGTGGTTGCTGTTAGCTGTTTTGGGTGCAAAGCCTCGTAGGGTTCCTTCCCGCGCAGAGCTTGCTATCACTCTTACGCAAAATTCTACGTATGCGTCAATTACTTATGAGCCACAAATGACTTGTCGTGGCCAGCCACTTCGCCGGGCCTAGTTCTGCGTGTCGGGTATATTAAATCCTACTAGAACGGAAATGCGTTGAAACCCGACCTCAGTGAGGTAGACTTCCTTCAACACCCAACAAGCATGTCTTCCATTGGAAAGCTGCTGGGAGTGAAGGCTCCTAACAAAGTGGTATGTCGGTATTCGTCTTGCATAGATCGTTTATGAAACATGCAGTATCGACAAGCCAGCGAATACCTGGTGTGCGCGATGTTTCTTGCGTCCAACCGTTCTCCTTGGGATAATAATCGAAAAAACAGTCGAATATCGCATCGGGGACCGAGCTCTTGCCGTCACCTTTCTTTTAGATGTATGTCTGGCTCTGAAAGATTTATCAGATATGGAGATAGCTATGTACTTGATTTCCTCTGCCACTTCCTGGCTTTCCCTTCCGTTCTAGTGATCAGGCCATGCCGCTTTTTGCTCACTGAATACTTACTAGTATATCTCCTCTATCTCTTTCAGTTTACCCTAATTGAAGTAGAGACATCTAAGGTCGTTAACTATATTAAGATAAGGTATATAATCCGGATCTAGAGCCTTCTCCTTCTAGTACTCGGTAGTATATCTCTTCTACCTCCTTTAGCTTACCCTTATCAGAGTGAACTCTAAGATTATTAACTATATCGAGGGTAGACGTATAACCTAGGCCCCGAGCTTTTTTATAGTTTACTAGTACTCGCTAGGGAAATTGTTCTTCGACCTATTTATAGTACTATATAAGTACTTAGATGATCTCTCGGGGCTACGATACGGTTTAATTTCTCCTTCCCCTCTTCCCTCGCCCTAGCTCTCTATATATCCTTCTTTTACTACTAACTACCTTCTTCGATACCGAGCTGTATATGCTTATACTCGTATCTACTAGCAATAAGCGTTCGCCGAGGTTTTTCTAAGCGGTTATCGCATTTCTATACTAGATCGAGCGACTTAGACTTTGAAATTTAATAAGCGAGGCATACATTTTGTACTAGAATAACACTTTAATAACGAATTTGCACTGGTCTACGCTTTTACTTTAACAGCAACTTGACTTTCGCTTCTCTCAAGGTTAGCCGCCTCTTTAGTTCGAAGAACCGACCTTATTCGCTTTTAATCGGATCTACGGCATATATTGACCTACGTTCACCTACTCTATACTACTTGAGATTGAGTTTATTTTAACACGGTCTTTAATGATCTACACTTAGTCTACTGCTCTTGCTTGCGACGGTGATCGTGCCTTTGCCACTAATCTCGCAACGCGCTTGTTTGGTAAGGAGAAGTAGAAATGAAAAAAAGAAATTCGGCCGCCTTAAATAGGCAAACCCTAGAAACATTTCTTACGTGCATAGCGATATTGTCCCTCAGCTCCAACTAATTTTGGTCTTAGGGCTATTGCAAGCAGTTGACCTGTAGCCTAGTCATACAATGTGCCCCTTGCTGTCGGATCCAGTGCAAACAGCCCGGAATCAGTAAGGGCTGCCTATCCTAGACTGGTCCAGATATACACAACCACTATAGAGCACTAGAAATGGAATCAAACATGCAGGTTAAACAGAATTCGTGTGGATCCATATCCAGGCAATCCTGAGGTTGCCTAGTATACGTATTGATAGTCTAGCATCTCGCCATCTGTGCGATCTGCAATGTAAATTTCAGTGCTGCCGGTCTGCACGGGCGGCACCCCGCCCAACTTCTCTCTGCGTTGCGTGTTTTGCCAGATGAGATACACCCGCATGACAATTACCAGGCCAATGCACATAGCAAGGCAGACCAACATAGCCGCAAACCCCGAGGGGTAACTTGGAGCTTCGTCGGCGAAGAACAACTGGGGTCCAATAATATTTCCGATGCAGTACGCGATAAAACACTGTGAGAGCAAAATTGTTTATTAGATAATCTGACCCTCAAGGCTGAACACGAAGAAGTCTTACCATTGCATTAGCTGTGGTTTTCTTGGTGATACCCGCAACGTTGGCGACATTCAAAGACAGCAGCAGCGGGAAATTAGCTGTATACGCGGATAGAAGACAGTAGCCTGAGTACCGAGCCCAAATGTGCGAGTTGTCTACTTGGCGGATGACGATAGCACCAACAAGAGCAATGACTGTGCAGATGGCCATCCAAATGGTCCGGGTGTTGGGGAGATAAGTGCTTCCCAGCGTAGAGGCAATGACAAAAAACCCTTGGAAACCCGTGACAATCATGCTCACTAGGAAGGTCTTGTTAGCCGAGAACCCCATGCCTTGGATGACAATAGCTGCGAACTGTAGACGGCAATATGTTAGTGGTTTGGGTACGATTGTTGGAGTATAAATCTTAGGTGATGAAACGTACGTTGCTAATTCCTCCGTTGGGAATGTTTGCACACAGCATAATCAGTACGGCCAGCCATACTTTTGGATCCTTGAGGGCTTCGAACATCTGTTCTCTCTTCCATTTGTTGCCCTTGACTCCTGTAAAATCTTCTTTCACGCGGTTGACCGCGCCAACTCGATCACCCTCGGAGAGGAACCAGGCCTTGGAAAGAGAATCCGGAAGGAGAAAGAACAGACAAACACCCCAGGCGACTGTGATGGCTCCGAAAACAAGGAATACAATCTATGAGCCAGGGTTAACTGTGAAATTCAGTTCCCGAGGTGGCCAGGAAGGGTAGGATGGGTCATATATACCCTCCACGCGGGGAAACTGGTGATATGCCCAAAAGCATACATCAGAGGCCCACTAAATAATCCCGAAATAACATTCCCCAGAAACCACACACCATGCCGGATTGGCTGTTCAGACCGTGTGTACCACATTGACGTAATGATACTGAAGCCCGGAGCCACGGCCGCCTCTGTCAACCCCAAGAAGAAACGTGTGGCCATAAGACCAGCAGGGTTCTGGGTTGCTCCCATACAGCATAGCACTATAGCCCAGATGATACTACCTGACTATCAGAAAATCATCTCATCATAGCAAACGAAAAATTTGGAGGAGGGGGGAAAGGGGGGCACCTACACAGAAAAAGCCATGAATTTGCCAACGGGAAACCGCACGATGAGAACTGCGATCGGTCCGGAGGCTGCTAGGTAGCCGAAGTTGAACAAACTAGATGCCCAGGAGTATTCCTGTCCTGAAAGGTGCAGGTCCTTCCGTAAACCTAGGATGGCCGCGTTGCTCATTGTGCTCTTATCCAAGTATTGTAGCATATAGGATATCACCAACACAGGAAGGAGGCTAATGAGTTAAACAAGTTAGATTTAATCCACGAGAGAAGGAGTGTTGAAATTGAAACCGACAAGGCATCGATTCTTCGTAGAAGGCGAGGCGACTCCTCGGGGGTGTTGCTTTGACAAGAGGCTATCTCTATATCAACTGGCTCTTTGGTAGAGACATTGTCTGCGTTTTTCTTCGATTCCGACATTGTTGGAGGATCTTGGTGTTGGAAGAAGAGATCATAAAGATATTTTAACTCTTGTAGTAGGCTAATTTAGATGCATAAAGCAAAGCAGAGTCCATTGATTTATATAACAGGCTATTCCAAGGTTGTTGGGTTATACTTTTGTATATCGTACATATCAACTCAAATGGACCACTTGGTTGCTTATCTCTCGAGCCAATTATCACTAGATTTCATTATCTTCATCTCTCCGGGGTCGAGAAAAAGCCGACATCCGACATACCCCCAGGAAATAGCCGGTCGGTAGTGCGATCTCAGATCATAAATCGCTCCAATTTACCAGACTGAAATTCAGAAACCAGCCCTACTCGCGCTTTACGAATCTGTTGGTTGGAAATAATGAAAAGCAGGGCCTTTTCCGCTCGTCGGTAATTTTCCCCTTGGTGTCGAAGATGCGAAAAGCGTCGCGACACCCAGTCCTGATGGGCCAGGTCATCTGTTTCTATTGCAGCCATGAATAATGGCCACGCAATACGTGCCATAGCTGTTTCTCCCTCGTCTCGATAAGCCTGATATGCTATGGTGAAAATTTCATCGAGCGCTCGGCACTGTTTGTCCTCAAATCTGAATGGCTTGGCAACGGCGGTAATCCGAAAGTACCAAAGCAACACCGCATGGTAGAAAGGCACGACAAAGCGAATATTAATCACAAAACGCTTTCGATCCCCGGCGACAGCCAGATCCAGCCGTCGAGCAGCGCCCAGAATCTCACTATATCGTTGGCCAATGTCGTGCAGCCCCCGCGCGACAGGAACCGGGTCCATCTGTAGCGGGTCGTTTTCGTATACATCGGCTAATTGAGCCAGCACGTGGCGCATCTGGCCGCACTCTCCATAGCAATAAAAAATTTCCCTACTTTCCAGGTCTTCTAGGAACTGAGTTTGCGGATACTCTGGCCCCCAGATGCTAAGAGGTAGTGTTACCGAGTAGCGATGGATTGCAGTGAACCCTCGAAGTCGAGATAAGATTCCATTTTCCGCCAATCCGGTCATAGCTGCGCCTAGAGCTCGGTTAAAGTCACCCCCGAGTTGGTGTGACTCGGCGCTCGCGTCTAGAAACGCGATCCAGACTATCATGCGGCCAGCGAAGGGAGATATGTGCCAGTGTTCGTCGGCCTCCGAAAAGCTTCGATCTAACAGGTCGCGCAAATTACTCAATCGATGCTGTAGGAACATGGCTGCCCCCTTTAAGTGTGCGATCAGACCCAATCCACATCCATCCCCGTAGCGTTGTTCGTAAATTATCATCAGCCACAAAGTAGCAAGGATGTTATCGAGATACTCTGGGTGTTTCTGGGTCGGACCCTGAATGGCTTTGGCTAGAAGCACCATCGCGGGATTATAATGCTCAACTGCCGCGCACGGATCAGCACCTAGCTGATAATGACGGAAAGCTGGTGTACGAACAATGTATGGTATAAATGACCAATGTTGACAACTCTAACTAACTAAAATGACAAAACCCGCTATTTCAACAATCTGTGCGGACCATGATGACTAACTGTAATATGCACTTTTGTATGGTATGCCTGGTACCCAATGTCACATGATGTTTCCGGTATATTACCTGGTTTCTACCATGTATTCGGACTTAGTATTCGACACACCCCCCAGTTCTTAAAGCCTGCATTTTCCTGGCTTCAAGAGCTGTCAATTCCTTCATTTCTGAGCCTTCCAATGGCTTCAATTCCATCAATTTCAGGCCTTCCAACAGCCTCTATTCTCGGATCAGATGACTGATCTCTCTCATCCCAATCAGCTCTCTGAAGAGATGCTGCTTCTGTCTCGGAAGCGCTTTCGTAAGGCCATCTGCTGGTATAGCCGTAGTTAGAACCCAGTCAACATTGACTCGACCCTCGCTAACCTCCTGTTTCATCCAGCAACGATTAATGTCAACATGTCGGAGCTTCGTATGTATCGCCGCCCCTTCCTTTGTTAACAAATCGACGGTTTGCTGGTTGTCACACATGATAGATAGTGGGTGGTTAGGTTGGAAGCCTAATGCAGAGAGGACTCGACGCCACCACTGTACAGTTTTGCCTGCCTCGGCTAGAGCTAGCAGCTCTGCCTCTGTGGTCGACGTGGTCACCGTCTTCTGCTTAGTTGCTTTCCAATCTATAGGGCCCCTATATAGCTTGCAAATATAACCCTCGGAGCTTTTCCTATCCTTATTGTCTCTAAACGATATATCGCTTACAAATTCAATTGATTTTGTAGCTAGCTGGAGACCGTGGTTTTTGTTATGTTGATCTTAACGATCTGTCTCTCTAGAACCATACTCGATGGCCTAGTACCTAGTCTCGTACAGGTATTATATGACTCGGTCGATAGCATCAATATACTTAGGACCGGGATTGGTTAGGAACTTAGCTAATTTAGTTGTAGCTTTTGTAGCATCTGGCCGGGTGATGGTAGTAGCATACTAAGTAGATCCAACCTTGGCCTAGAAACCATGAATCTGACTCGGTGACGCCACTCTATTATATAGAATCAACTACTCGGTAGCTATAAGTAGAGATCCTACTTTCCTTATAGTAACCAAATTATACCTTGCTACCATACTCTCAATATAGCTATCCTGGCATAACCAAAGCTTCTTTTGTTCCCTATCTCTAAGAATTCGTATGTTTAAGAACCAGCTTGTATCTAGTTCACGTAATTCCTATTGCTTCTTAATCTCTCGATCTAGCTAAGCTGCTTGCTCTATGTAGTCGGGATGATTCACTATAATAATGTCGTCGATATAAAAGAAGACGATGATACCGGTGGTAATAAAGATATATAGATCTTCCGGCACTAGGGTAAGGCCTAGTTTTACTAGTACCCTAGTTGCTTCTTGCTGCTATAGTCTTGGTAATATACGTAATCCGTATAGCGCTCTGTAGAGCAGCCAGCATTGATTTAATGCTTCGAATCCTAGAGGGCACTTTGTATATACCTTACTTTATAGCACTGAGTTTAGAAATGTAGTGACTATATCTCTCTATATTATATCTAGATCAAATGTAGCTACTAATATAAAGATAGCCCTCGCTATCTTAACAGCTAGTGTTACGGCTCTCTTTTCCTCTATAGATAACCATTAAAGATCTCTACGAACATAGATTCTCGCTTTGAACTTCTCTAGCACACTATTAGCATCGAATTTGTATATAAATACCTACTTTAGTAGTAGCACTTGTATACCTCGCTCGTTCGGAATTAGAATCTAGGAGAATGTCTCCTTTTTCCTCAATGTCTCGACCTCGAATATAGCCGCTGTTTTGAACTGCTCGGCGAATCGATAGGTCTTTAATTGATTCTAGGTCTCTAGCGGCGGTAGCAGGTTATCCCGGTATGGCTTGGTATCGAACCGCTTGTTCATACCTGTAGTAAATGTATATAGTAAGCTTGGTGGCTCTATCTATTCGTCAAGAGATAGGTATGCAGTATAATCTGGATCCAACCTTGGTTTCCTAGATCTGGTGCCGGTGATGATATTTGATATGTCGATATCACCTACTATGTCTCTTAGTGCTCGATCTGAACTTGCTTAGGACGATATTTCTCGCTAGAATAGCTCTAGGGTCGGCGAGTATACTATTTCTTGCTATAGTTGACGCTCTATCTTAGTTTCTTTATCTAGTCCTTCTACCCCCCTAGTTTCGATCGACGGTATCACAGAAATCGGATCTAGCGACGATGGGATGGTTTCTCGGGGTGCTGGATTCGATAGAATCGATGGATTCGATAGATTCGATGGATTCGATAGATTCGATGGATTCGGAGATGTTGATGCTATTCTAGATGCTAGTGATGATGATCTTGGTGGTAGAGAGGATGACAATGATGGTCTTGGTGGTAGGGAGGTTGGAAAGCTGCTAGGCAGGTTATCTATATGCTCCCTCGGTCCTATCTGGACCTATGGTCCTATCTAGTCCCTTGGTCCTATCTGTATTAATGTTTGCTCCCTTGGTCTAGTAATAGACTATGGGGTAGGCAAGCTAGTTACTAGCTTGACATCTATATGCACTGGAGTTCTCTCTTTAGCAACTATCTCTCTAGCTGCTTAGCTAGCTATTTTATCATCTATTTTATCAACTACATCGATAGCTGTATCAGCTGCATCAGCTGCATCAGTTTCATCGATAGCTATATCAGCTGTATCATTAGGTATATCGACAGCTATATCGGCAGCTATCTGGCCTTACTCGGTAAGCTCAGTTTTATTATCTAGAGCTATCCTCGCTATTAATCTAGGCATTTGTATCTGTGTACTAAGCTCAACTTGCGCTTCTTCCATAGTAAGCACAGCTGGCTATATGCCTAGTCTATCTGTTATGGTACTAATTGTATTTTCTTGCTTAGGTAGGGGTCTCGATTTCGAATACCGTCTCGTCTCGTCGAATATAGTATCTCGAACGACGTCTACCCTCCCTATACCGCTAGTACGTCCCTTATAAGGGAACCATACTTTGTATAGGTTCTTAGAGATATACCTAACGAGATATCCTATCTCTACTCTAGGTGACATCTTATCTGACTGGGTCCTTTTGATGATTCTCGAGTACGTTAAGCACCTATATAACCTTATATTCGATAGGTTAATCATCTGATATTAGATCCCGTCTGGGGTAGTATGTTTTATCAATTCCTTCTAAGGTATGATCTATTGGCTACTGGTTTTACTAGGTTTAATGACCTTAGTGGGGGTCCTGTTTAGGATATATATCGCTGTATATATTGCCTCTGGCTATAGAGTATGGGGTAGCTCTATATCGTTAATTAACGCTCTAGCAGTTCGTACTATTATCCCCCTAGATCTCTCGGCTGGACCGTTTATTTCTGGTAAGCTAGGTGGTGAATGCTCAATGGTATATCCCTCTACCTCTATTATTAATTCAACCTTATTGCTAGCGCTCCGCTCGTTATCATAGTGGACCACTCTGATTTCTAGTTTTAACCAGTTCTTGACTAGTGCTAGGAACTTCCTAATAGCTATCTAGTAGTTATTTTTCTTGATATAGGTGAATATAAAGTGGCATTTAATACTATCTAGGTAGAAGTGAGTTAACTAGATATATCTATTATAGGCCGGCTGATTCTATACTAGGTCGAAATGGACCCTTCTAAATACACTATATGCTTGGCCTATCTTCCGGCGAGAGATCTGTCTTGGTATATCTACTAATTGACAAGCTTTATATACCTGCTCTATGCTAGGGTTGCTTTCAATGGTAATACCTTCCGTTATCTCTACTAGCTTAGTAATACGCTACTAGCTGATATAGCCTAGGCGTCTATACTAGGTTTGAATCGATGCTTCTGCTCTTGGTTCTTAAGCTGACTTCTTGGCCTTAGTTGCAAATACCAAGTCCTTAGGTTCGAGTTTAGGATACTAAAGATCCTTCGGCTAGGTCAACCAGGATAGCTTTATGTCCTAATAGACTTTGAAAATCGGTTGTCTATCTTTGGACTTAATACAGTCCCTTCTGAAGTTTATCATGAGACCTCCTTTCATCATCAACCTATGGGATATCAGATTAGTATGGAAATTAGGAGAGTATCTGACGTTATATAACTCTATCCTTACTACCTTTCTACTATTAGGACTAATACTATAGATGACTATAGTGCCTACCCTGTCGATTTTCGTCTCTATATCTCCTACCTATACGCTGCTCTATACGTCCTCAAAAGTCATAAACAACTCTCGATCGTTATATATATGCATTTATGCTCTAGTATCGACTACCTAGCGCTTTCGTACGGGCTGTATATTGTCGATTTGGGTCTGGTTTTAGGTGGATATAACGGTGGTAGAGACGTCAATGTGCTTGCTAGCCGGTGGTATGGCTGCCTATGCCGTACTAGGTACTGTCTTACTAGCTGCTGTCTTGCTAGCTGCTGGACTAGCTGCTGCTGAACTAGCTGCTGCTGTCTTGCTAGCTATTGGACTAGTTTCGGAGGAGAAGAAGCTATAACCTTGGTCTTTAAAAGCGGTATTCGCTTACTCTGTTGCTTTTACCTTTTGACGTTTCTTATCAACCTAGGCTTTCTAGGCGGGGTTAGCTTTTATTGCTTTCTCCTATTTGTCCTTAGTACCTTGGTTTCTTATATATGAAGGCGGCTTATTCTCATCGAATACGTCCTAACATTTCTAAGCTGGATGCCGGCTATTGCTCTGGCTATATAGATAGGGTCTATTCCTAAATGATTCCTTATTTCTTGTCGAATTCGAATCACTTGGCTTTGCTTCTTTATGACCTTGCTATGTCGAAAATATAGCTCTAGAAATGCCTCTCTGGTTGGTGGCTGGCTTGCCGTAGGTGATTTTCTAGTGAGCTCTGTATCGGTTGAGAAGCTCGGTAAACGTCACCTTATCTACTTTATCTTATAGTCTTAGGGTCTATGTTTTATAAAACCTAGGAGACATTACTGAGATAGTATCTAGGAACTAAGTTGGAGCATCATCTACTTCTAGCATTTTCGCTCTCTTATACCTTGCCTATACGGTCTCCTAGTTCAACAACCACTTGTCGATATCGGTATTCCGATCTAATCCTCGATCTAGGGTACGCTAAAGCTAACGAAGCCTAGCTGTATTTGTTAGATCACACTCGGCGGCGAACCGTTATCGGAGGTTACGGAGGAGGTCATACGGTATCTTGAAGTCGATGATGAACGGTTGGTAGTTAGCGTGGACGCTATTCCGAATAGCTGTCACCACTACGTTTAGTCCTTTCTTCTGCTAGGTATAGGCCACGTTGTCATTGGCCTATTCTATCTATAGTATCTTATATATATCGGCCTATTGGTCTTTATACTGTGTTTGTGCTTCTGCAATTGAGATGACTTTCTTAGGTGCTACTAGTAGCTCTGGTCTCTTATCATTGCTAGGATCATATAGCTCCTATACGTCGAATTGCACTACAATCGATTCAATGTTAGCTAGCCATGCATCCCATATCGTTGTATCCTTTAGTATAACGCGAGAGGATGCACCCGCGGAGAGGTATTCAGCCATTTGATGTTCGTTGTCCTTTGTGGACAGGCTTCCGATTCTTGATTCAGGGGTTGGTTCAGGGGTTGGCTTCGGCGACGGGGGTGACGATGTAGTGTCACTTTGACCTCAATTCGACGATAGCTAGGTTCAATAGAACGATTCCGGGCTCATAACTGACGGAAAGCTGGTGTACGAACAATGTATGGTATAAATGACCAATGTTGACAACTCTAACTAACTAAAATGACAAAACCCGCTATTTCAACAATCTGTGCGGACCATGATGACTAACTGTAATATGCACTTTTGTATGGTATGCCTGGTACCCAATGTCACATGATGTTTCCGGTATATTACCTGGTTTCTACCATGTATTCGGACTTAGTATTCGACAGATAACACTGTTCCTGGATACCCAACGCGCATACCATGTGCATTACCATTGGCTCCGTTTGCGCACGAGAAGCAATGATTGAAGGAACCGAGTATGCAACATCTTTAGTATCGACTGATTTTGAGATTGCGGTACGGAAATAGTGTATTGCCTCTTGGTCGGCCGCGCATGGATGGAAACTGCTAGGAGGGGATGTGCCATTGCCAGAGTGATTAATGATGCTCGGCGTGGGTGAAATAGTTGGATCCAGAGGTGATATGTTATTTTCTGATATGAGTAATACTGCTGTAGAAGGGGCCACATCCTCCGATTCCTCTCGCGATGGGTGTGGAGAATCGTGCGGTAGATGAGAACGTTTTCGAGTGTATGGCCTGCGGGGTCGAGGAGAGTAATCACAGTCACGACACAAGCGCAGACATCGCCGACATGTGGGCTGTTCTTCGTCACATTTGACCTTCTTTTCCCGACAGGTCCAACACCCTTGCTTGGATCGGGGATTGGAGCGTCGAGGAGTTTGACTAGTCAATCTGCCGGCCATTATGGAGGGAGCACGGCAATGAAAGAATATGCAAGATAGATACCCTCGTCTATTTCAATAGTCAGTTGATTACATCGGGGGCTCGGGAAACAAGCGGGGGAGATAGACAAGATTAGCCGATCGGTTAGTTCCATAGCGCAGAGATAAGCAAATTCCAAGCTTGGCAGTATTGATCACCTCTGTAAAGATAAAGAAGAGTACTTAAACAAAATAAAGCGGAAGGGGACCTCATTGATGAATTTCCACCGATTGTTACCATGAAGTCAATTTCACTAAACATTGTTCGTGGGCATATCGCAGCAGCTATCGATGCTGAGGCGCAGGCCCTACGACAGCTCAATCATGACATTCACAGTCACCCAGAGATCGCATATGAGGAGGTTTATGCCCATGACACGCTGACAGACTTCCTTGGGTTGCGCGGTTGGGCAGTAAAACGACATGCATATGGTTTGCAGACCTCTTTTGAGGTAGAAACAAACACTAGCGAGGGGGGACCAGTCATCGTGTTTTGTGCCGAATATGACGCCCTTCCCGGGATTGGACACGGGTGCGGTCATAATCTGATAGCTACATCTTCTCTAGCCGCATTCCTAGGCCTCGCAAAGGCTGTTCGGGAGATGGGGCTGGCTGGCAGAGTTCGCATCCTCGGAACTCCGGCAGAGGAAGGAGGCGGGGGGAAGGTCAAGCTTATCGAAGCGGGGGCGTTTAAAGACCCTGAGATCAAGGCAGCGATCATGGCTCATCCGATCTCGCTGTGTGGCCTCCCCGACGGTTACCAAGGAATAGCCGGGTTCCAAACTATCGCTAGTCACAAAGTCAGGGTTGAGTACCGGGGTCGGGGCGCCCATGCTGGGGGTGACCCATGGCGTGGACTCAATGCTCTGGATGCTGCAGTAGGGAGCTACAATAGTATTTCGATGCTACGGCAGCAGATTCAACCAGATGAGCGAGTTCATGGGGTAATTGAGGACGGCGGGAAGGTCCCAAATGTGATCCCAGACTATACCCGTATGAACTGGTATATTCGGAGCGGAACTGCTGCCCGTGCCGATGAACTACTTGCGAGATGCAAGGGCTGTTTTGAGGGCGCTGGGCAAGCCACTGGCTGTCAAGTCAATTATATCATGTATGCGTTTCTTCGCTTCCTTATATTCACCAGTTCAACTATTTCTCAGAGCATGCTAACGATTGTGTCCAGGGCACCCACTTACAAAGAGCTAGTTCTCAACGATAGGTTCTGTGACCTCTACACGCAGGAAATGAGTGTTCTGGGACGAATGGTTTTGGCCAAACAGGAAAGTATAGCCTCCATCTCCACCGACATGGGTATGCTCCTCTCTTTCCTAATGAGACGCACCACAGATTGGCTAATTAGTATCTAGGAAATGTCTCCTATGAGATCCCCAGCTTCCATGGAGTCTTCGGCATTCCAACCCCTCCAGATATCCCAGGTCACCATCCAGAGTTCGCGAAAGCAGCTGCCTCCGACCAAGCCCATGAAGAAGCCATTATTGCTGCCCATGCTATGGCCATGCTTGGTTGGAACGTTTTGGAGAAAGAAATCAAGTAAAGGCCAGTGCGGTTAGTGGTGTAATGCAATATAAAACATGAAAGTTCATTTTTATCGCACACACTAAATGATCAGCGATATTAGTATTCATATAGAGTAGAAATAATCAAACAAGTTTCTTTTTTAATGCTGAGATTATATCTGTCCACAAAAGATCATAGTACTATTACGCACTAAATAGATAGAACAAGATATTGATTTCTGAGCCAACTCTTATCCGGCAGATCTAAGACTTTATCAACATACCAAAAAAACTATTCCAAAGTGTTACATATAATCAAGGTATAAGATAAGGCATTGGCGTTCAGATATGAATCTATAGAATGTTGCCATTACTCTGTTGGGGGTGCCGCTCGCCTAAGAAAACATGTTGGAAATTGGCCGGCAACGACAAAAGAGACGAGGGATGGGGCAATATCGCGAGCAGCATGGTATTTCTGCTCAGAGGAATTAGCCGATCGGTTTGTGAGCTGGATTGTCTCTGTCATGAGCCGAGTGGAACCGATCTCCATTGAAATGGAGAACAGATGCTAGCTATAAAGCGCTGAACAAAGCCAGATATCCTGTTCAATATGACAAGACGCCTTTAAGTTGGTTTTCGGGTCACAAGACACACAGAATAAAAACATGAGCTCAAGTACTACAAATTGCACTGAAGAAGGATTTGGCAAAGACACCTTCGGGGATCCACGGGTCTCTTATCAAGCCTCAAATGGGATAGTCGAGTTCGACGGCCTAGCCGACGCAACACACCCTTTTAATTGGCCGCTGAACAAGAAGTCCGAAGTCCTTTCCTGCGAGAAAATGTATACTCCGTGTTAACAAATATTCATTTGCATAGGTTCACCGTATCCGTGGCACTCGCATTTTCTACATTTACTGTGGGTTTCAACTCGTCACTCTTCTCAGCAGCAACTACTCAAGTCACCAATGAATACGGAGTATCCCCTATTGAAGCAACTTTGGGAGTCTCCTGCTATGTTCTGGGCTTTGCTACCGGTCCTATCTTCTGGGCTCCCTTCTCTGAGCTGAAAGGAAGACGACTACCCATTTTGCTAGGTATCTTTGGATTTGCGGTATTTTCCTTGGGAGTGGCATCCGCCAGCAACATTCAAACCATCATCATTTGCCGCTTCTGGGCTGGTATGTTCGCTGCATCACCCATGACCGTAGCCGCAGCGGTATTTGCCGATATCTTCGACGGGGCGGCTCGAGGCCCAGCTACATCTTTATTCTGCATAAATGTGCTGATGGGACCTATGTTGGCCCCTTCAGTCGGTGGTTTTATATGCGCATCTTCTCTGGGGTGGCGCTGGACCGCATGGCTGGGGAGCATTATGGGATTTACAGGGTTTGTCCTTGATATGCTTTGGCTGGACGAAACGTACGCACCCATACTTTTGACAAAAAAGGCGAGCGCTCTACGCCACACGACTGGGGACTGGAGCCTACACGCGAAGCATGAAAAAATCGTTTTGGACAGGAGGACGCTGGTCGTTACATACCTCGCCCGGCCCCTTCGTCTACTGTTGACTGAGCCGCTGATCTGCCTCTCCTCCATTTATCTCGCCTTCATCTATGGGCTTATGTATCTGTTTTTGTCTGCATACCCATTGGTCTTCGAAAAGGTGCACGGTTTCAGCCCTGGTGTAGCCGGACTCGCCTACCTGGGGCTGGTGCTGGGGATTTTGATAGGCGGGGCGTACGTGATCTCCATGCAACCATCCTACCGCCGCAAGCTAAAGGCAAACAACGGGATAATTATCCCGGAATGGCGTCTTCCTCCCGTTATGATTGGCAGTATAACATTCGCAGTCGGAGTCCTCTGGTTTGGCTGGTCGGGGTACCGTGCTTCTGTGCACTGGATTGTACCAGTACTATCCGGCATTCCTACCGGATTTGGGCTGTTCTGCATCTTCCAACAGCTGCTGAACTATCTTGTTGACATCTACCTACCTTAGTGAGTGGATCATGACGCGTGTAATATCCCTAGGCTGACCATGTGCACAGTTCCGCCTCCGTCAATGCGGGCAGCTCGATTCTTCGTTCGTTGTTTGGGTTTGGATTCCCGCTATTTGCATTGTCATTGTTCGATTCATTGGGTATTAATTGGGCGGGAACACTTCTTGGAGGTATTGCTGTGCTGTGTGTTCCACTTCCATGGATCTTCTACAAATGGGGTCCTCAATTGAGGGCTAAAAGCAAGTACAGTTTGAAATTGTGAGAAGATGGCGAGAAGTGTGATACATAGGGTTAAGCATACAGTAAAAGTGATTAGATGATAGATATATGAATTCGAAGATGCTAGTATTGGTGTTGATTACAATATTTGCTATATTGTTTAGAAGTATGAATAGAATTATATGGGAGGCCTTATTCGTCAAAAATGACAATGCCTTCCATCTATTTTGTTATATATTATTATGAAGACCCAGAGTTTGGCATGTCGCAATCTTTAATTCTGTTCATATATCGTTGAATAGATGAAAGTCACGCAAGAGAATGAGAGTGAGAATGCTGGTCTGGAGTGCGTGATGAGTTACTGTAGCCCATAAACATGGACGCCCTATGTAGGGGGTTGCTCTGCTAGGCATCCTATCGATTGCTATACGTAAAATCGTCAGTATACAGGTTTCTATGCTCTCAGGATCGCTGTGCATACAATTGCATATCTAAGCATCTACTGTACGATAGGAAGAATTCCTGGAATTGGGAGACCTAGAGCCTGTCAAAAGAAACGCATTAGTGTTTAATGTAGCTTATTTGCATGATACGTGTACCATTATTCAGCGCTTTCTCGAAATTACATATACATGGTTTCGATAGATGTTTCTACGAAAGGATCTCACAAAATACATCCTTCTCAAAGCGCGTACCGCCAACTTGTCCCAATAAGAGATCATGCGACATGCACTAGGCTAATTTCGAGGAGTAGGCACTTTATAGTGTAGCCCGAGTTGTTGGGGTGTCGTACTTTATTTTGATCTAGCTAATTTAGAATTGACGACCCGTCGCTTAACTCCAGGTAACTTTTCTTCTTTTCAAGACAGCACAAATAACAAAACCCCTTTTCCAATGGCCTCTTCCAAGCCACCCCTCCCATGATATCCACATATCTTAAATTAGTTGGAGATAACCAAGGATCCCTCTATATGGCTCACGAGATTGACTAGGAAGACGCCTAGGCCTCAACAAGTCCCGCCGATTTGGTCCCGCCTTGGCGCTTACTTGGTGCCAAGCCACTAGCTTTAGTTCTGTCTTGGCATTACCATGCCGATCACCCTTCTATATAGGTAATTGTCTAACCTCAATAGGTATGGTCGAAGCACCACAGCACCAGAGCTCTATTTCGTGCTGCGGGACCGGGACCAATAATCGGCTGGTGCTGCGGGACTTGCCAAGGTCTACCAACTATTCACATGTTGGCCGAGCCGCTCTACGCTCCCTCCCCACTGGCGCTTGCATTCGGCAGACTGGTACTTATCAACCTCTTCGATTATGCCCTATACGCTTTCCGCCCTCTTAAGAGAATCGGAATGGTCTAGTTCTAGCAGCCCAGTCTCCACGGTATGTACTTGGGCTTGATATATAGCCCCGTGGAGTATACTAAAGCGGTGTTGTAGGACGCAATTCCTCACATGTCTTGATATGGAGATATATGTGGAAGTATGAGCAATAACTGACTAGAAGAGCCCGAGGGCTTGAAACGTCATGTCCTGTTTTCCATTGTTGAGTAAATTCCGGTGCGCTGTCTAGATGAGCCGTTGACATTCAAGTGATTTGATTCTGATCGGTTTCATCAAACACGATTCAGGTTAACTCAGAAATTATACTCCAGGCTGTCTGCACCAAAAAAAAACCAGAAAATATTGTTTCCTCGAAGCCTTGATGGTCTTCAACTCAGCTTCAGTGCAATAAGGTTGAGGGTAGACTTCCGCAAAGCACATAGATTTGAGCCCATAAAAGCCCATCTAGGCCTATCCATATTTCTACGTTACCTTTCAAAATTACCTTACGTTTAAGCGCCGTTTTCTTATCTTCTACTAAGGTAATATTTAGTTGTTATTAGAGAAGTAGAATACATAGAGTTAAATTTATAGATTACCTAGTAAAAATTATATAACGTATTATAAAGATGACTTTTAAATTACAGATGTTCCCCTAGAAAGTACTAGTACTACTATATAGTCATAATTCAAAAATATATATCCAAGATATCAACTTCACCCATTTCACTAATTCCCCAACTTCTAGAGGTCGCATATAGTCCAAAATTACACTATATACTAATATAGCACCTCAAAATCTATACACATTAAATTCAAATCTTCAATAATAAGTAGAGGGCCGTAGTACAGCAATTACAGTAGTAGGTTTTTAGGCGCCAAGACCCCTTGATTGGGCCCGGATGGGCTTTTATAGGCCCAAATCTCGTCAAGGTCTACTAGGGCCTTCTCCCTACTAATAGAACTGGGCACGCTTCTGAGTATTACATAATTATCCTTTCGTGTCATCAATACTGGCGATTATTTGATTCAGTAGACATGGCATCAAGACTTTGAAAGGAGAGGCGGAGAGTAAGAAAGGAATAGCAACCGATGGTCTTGCCTGTAAAGCAGGTATATGCGGATAATAAATAATCCAAGGTTGTCCAACCCCTCCATAATGACGTATAGCTGAGCGACTTCGTATGGGCTTCCCTTCATTCCTTCTGATCACGCCGTTGAGTTGACATTCTAGTCCAAGGAATAAGCGTGCAGCTGACGAAATGGACGTGGCAATAAACCCTATTTATTTTCGTAACCCAGTGGACAATCATTCTATAGGAGCGCAACAACACAGGTCTCTAGAGAGCCTCCTCGTCTTGGTCTTGGCCCCCCACAGCTCCCTGCCGATCGGATCGGATGGCGCACCGGGGTTGTGGTCTTGTTTTTTTTTTCCCATCCCCTATCCTGGTACAAGCCTGTACAACGCGTTTTAAACGAAAAAAGTGAATATCTCATTTAACCACTGAGCAAGATAGAATAATTGGCACATAGATGGCACTCACAAGCAACCAATGATTATATGAGTCGGGCCAAAAGCCGACTATAGGTCTAATTGCTGTGGAAGGCGCAAAATATCTGTTCTCGACATGTGCAATTACAATTGCTCGGTGCACCCGACCACTATCGATCAAGACGACGATATCACGGGGATCGGAGTGAGTGTCACAAGTAAGGTCACTTAAGAGACGGATGGCTCATCTTTACAGGTTTTAATCGGGTACGTTGTGACTGCGGGCATGGTGGTACTCACTATCGTGTTTTACTACTTGCTTTCTTATCAAGCGTGTCTCGACCCCTTTCGCGACGGGCATATCAATCCCCTGTTAGCCGTACAGCCACGACCAAATCCCATTGATGAACTAGTGCTTCGGGGTCCACGGGGACTATTGACTAAGATCTTTGGTACAGATAGTAGTGGATTCAGGATCCATGCCCGTTTCGAAGGCTCGCTGGTCAAGGTATGTTACGACCTTATTGAGCTCCTTTGATCAATATTAAAAGAAACGCAACAGTGCGTCCTCGCCATGAGTGACATCCAGATATTCACGGGAGTATCCATCATGGTCAGCGGTGTAGCGCAGCTCAAATGTGGAATCTCCTGCTACCAATGGCTGGTAGTAGTCTACCTGGCATGGTTTTCCAGTCTGACCCATCTCTCGTGTCTAACCCTTCTCCGGAATTATCTACACAATCGACCGGCTGAACGAACCTGGCGACTCGTTTGCATGTTTGTACTCGTGGTGCTCCTCTTCTTCGCTTTTCTCCCCGCGGCCAATTATAGATGGCAGATAACGGATGAGTACACCGGTATTCCCACACCTAAGGACTACGCAATCTGTTATCTGAAACCGATGTTAAGACTTGACCCACATGCGCACTCCTATTATTGGGAAGGGTTGAATTACTATTCCTACAGTGAACATGCTATTATCGCTACGTCGATATCGCTCGTTTTGTTATGTGTCGGATTTATGTGTCGGGTTGTCAAATTACATAAGAGCTTCTCGAAATTTCTTGATCACAACATTCGAAGAAGAATCAGTCATTCGCTTCGTATACCGCTTCGCGTGGTTTACGGCTGGTGTGATGTTCAGCGCTCCCCTCGAAATTTGAAGAGGTACTTGTTTTACCGGCCTCTATTAGCACTCTTTCTTACTGCCCGAGTATCTGTCGATACCTGGAACTCCATGTTCTTTGAGGTAAATTTCTCCCCAAATTCTTGTGTTGGTCATAATATAAACTCAAATCTAGGTGTGGTGGCTCATGATTAGTTTCATTTGGGGCGTGGAGCGTTTATTCAATACCACCACTATAGTCCCGAGTAAGGAGGACACAAAGTGGACTTTTGGTCAGGTCATGTCCGTTGCTCTCCTTGCTATACCTCTAGTAACGGTCATTGAGCTGCTTTATCCGGGTAAGTTTCTAGCATCCTCGCAGTAAAGCCGCACAACTAAGGATCATCGCTATTCCCAGAACCCGAGAAACAAAAGGAAGACACACAACAAACTAGAAGGAGCTACCTTTCATTCGGTCAGAACCAGGACCGCTCTAGCCTCGAATATCTCGATGAGCTACCTTCGCCCATTGCACGACATCTCACCCGCGCCTCGCACTTCGAAGTCAACGATGATCCCGACTACGAGCTGCACTACAAATCCGGTTGCCTGAATGTGCCGGCTCTGACGCTAACCCTATCAGTCATTTTCCTCTCCATCTGGTGTCTCACTCAGGCCTCAATGCTCAACAGCCTGATGGGACTTGGCTTTTTGCAAATATCCTTTTACCCCTGGGGCGTTACGCCGCTAGTATTGATCTTTTCCGTTTATAACAGCATCCTTTTCTCATTCATGTCCACTAGTGTTTGGACCATGGAACGAGGCAGCCGAGAGACTAAACGCTTCTTTGTGCAATTCTCACGTGTTTTCGTGACGATCTTCTTTATTGGCGTCACTGTCTTCATGTTTTTATTTGCTGGTGGTGGCGGGGAATGGGTCCAGTGGGTGGCTGTTGGTGTGTTTGGCATGTATTTCCTGTGTTCTTTGTTGTTAGCATGTCAGTGAAATCAATTTTCCGACGCTCTTTGAGTGTTTGATATACACCACGCTGTTCATATTACCCGGGAGGGCCTCCCAGCGGCCTCACAGCGGCCTCACAGAGTCGGTTGTATGCGAACGGCTCCACAGTCCAGCCTTGGTGGAGATCGTCGCTGGGCACAGCCCTGCGGCGAAGCTCATCAAGCTGACTTTCGCAGTGGATTTTATTACTTCGAGATATCAAGAATTGAACCCGTACCAAGGTCGCTTTTATGTGCCAAATATGTGGGTTGCTAGTGTTTTCGAGTAAAGAGAGTAGTGGTACCGACGATTGGTTCCCCATCACCTCCAACCTGGTCAGCCCCCATGCCAGTGTTCTCCATGCCGATCAGTATCATATGAATCAGCCGTCAATATGGCTGAGCCGTGTACTCCTTGGCCTTTATTTTCACTTTTTATTTCCGCCATTCTCGACTCTCCAATCCAATTATCCTTCCCTAACCAGCTTTCAAAATGGCTCAGACTGAGTTAACTACCTCCAATCCCGCGGATGGGCAAATTCGTCCAAGAAAAGCGGATGGTAACGCCAAGTTTGAAAGACCAGCCGGTACGCACCTTAAGTCCACTGTCCTAAATCGTCCTTTTAACGCCATCTACTTTCCTATAGATACCGCTTTTCGGCAGCAGCGACTGAAAGCCTGGCAGTCAGTTTTTGATCCTACTGCTTCTCCGAATACATAAGTATTTATTGACGCTCCCACAGGCCAATTCTTACCCCTAAAAACATTCTCCCCATTTTTCTGGTCATCGGATTTTTATTGGTCCCAATTGGTGGGGTTCTCATTTGGGCGAATTCTTTGGTGAATATGATCTCCCTTGGATGGTAGACCTCTCTAATGCTGTACATTTGAAAGGTTCGAGAGATCGTGATTGACTATTCGGATTGCTGGAAGGCGCCGCTGGACTCATCAGTAGCCATCCCCGATAACGTACAGACGACATTCAAGTTAAAGACTAGGCAAGATGCCCGCTGGCAGCGAAAACACGACCCCGCGACGAATACTACCACATGTTCTTTGTTCTTTGATATCCCAGAAACACTCGGACCGCCGGTATATCTATATTATCGGCTTACAAACTTCCATCAGAACCATCGCAGATATGTCCAGTCGCTTGACCTGGACCAATTGAAGGGCAAAGCCCTCTCTAATACCACTTTGGCTAACGGCACATGTGAACCCTGCGCGGTTGATCCTGCGACCAAAAAGCCCTACTATCCCTGTGGATTAATTGCCAACTCCAAATTCAACGACACTATTGGTAAACCTCAGAATCTACAAGAGGAGGGGACACCTTTCTACAACATGACAAAGACGGGAATTGCGTGGCCAAGTGACCGGGAATTGATCAAAATGACGCAGTACAAGCCATGGGAGGCTGTCCCCCCACCGAACTGGGCACATTACGGCCTCAACTACACGTACGACAACATGCCTAATCTTCATGAAGATGAAGATTTCCTCGTTTGGATGAGACCGGCCGGTTTACCCTCATTCAGCAAGCTTTCTAGAAGAAACGATCGTGACGCAATGCCCACGGGGTTTTACAGGTTGGATATCCAGGACAGTATGCTTCCCCTTCATAATTCGGTATGGCGCTCATTAAGTATTGTTTAGGGTTTCCGGTCACGGAGTACCATGGGACTAAGGCAATTCTGATATCCACTAGGACTGTGTTGGGAGGCAAGAACCCCTTTTTCGGAATTGCTTATGTGGTTGTTGGTGGGATTTGTGTGCTTTTGGGGGTTGCATTTACTATTGCACACTCAATTCGACCCAGGTATGGTACTCCCGATGGGATATCCTCCCAGATGTTAATCATTTGTCAGAAAATTGGGCGACTCGACCTATCTTTCCTGGACGCCTTCAACCTGATCGACCATTGCACTTGCTGCTGGACAAACTGGTTAGTTTATCAGACACTAGCCTACTGTAACACCCTAGGTACCTCACAAGGAAAATTAGATCCCTATATTATTCCTTCTATGTATAGCTCAAAACATGATATACATCTTGGTCTAGAAATTAAACATACTCGTAAAGCAATTACCGCAGCCCTTGTAAGAATATCAAGCTGTTTAGGTAGTAAGTTAATTTCGAAATGTATAAGACCGTTTCCAAGGGAAAAATAAAGACCAACAGCCGATCGAACGATGGTTTCATTGAGAAGTCTAAACTAAAATTCCTAGTTTGAGCCTGATAATAAACGAGTGAGTAGACCCAATATATCATATTCTGACACGCCTTCCCTCTGATTCCATCCATCTAGATGAAGACTTCATGCATAAGAATGCAGACTATTCAAGTCGAAGCCTGGATCTGGTAGACGCACACAGACCATCATCAGACTCAGATTGTACACATTTAGTATTCCCAAGCAGCAGCCGTAACATTAGCAGGCAGATCGTACTCCAAAGCACCAGCCGTGAAAGGCACACAGACGTCCAACTTCTGGCCGCGAGGGGGTGTTGCGTCGGGGCTGTTGATGAAGACCTGGTAAATGCCATTGTTGTAGGGACAGGCGAGGAAATCATCAAAGCCGTCACCCTGGTAGGCCCACTGGCCATATCGACTGCCAGGAACGTACTTGAATCCGCCTGTCTTACCGCCAGAATCAATGTTGACGGACTTCGGGCCGCTGTATCTGACGGCATAATTCGAGTCGACATAGATAACCTGGTCTGGTACAATGGTGTCCTATTACTGGTGTTAGGGATGTATTCGATGGAGCTAAGGAAGGAGGGAGTATGTTACCAAAGTATTGGCATCTTTGAGGACAGTGTCCCTGCCAGGAGGGCAACGGCCGGCCTTCTCGACGTTGGGAGGACAGTATGAGTCTGTGTATCCGTCGCCTTTACCCAGCCAGAAGAAAGTGGAGGAGACGGCCAGTGCGCGATACTGGACAGGCCCATCGCTGACGGCCATAAGGTCGAAGTGGGCAGGCTTCTGGGGAGTAGTCAGGGAATTGGCCCCGGCCAGGAACGGAATCAGGGCAAGGATAGTGGATTGCTTCATTTTGGGGAGGTTGAACGGTTGGTTTTCTGGGTTGATTTTCTTCAATATCTTTGTTGATAATGATCATAATTGATACGGGTCAATTGAGTACTTATATGGTACTACTTCACGGACAACGTCCGATTGGAGAACCAGATGAAACCAGACAACAGACCGGGCATACGATCATCGGCTAAGTTCCTTCCCTTGCAAGAGGGGATGATTATCTCTGGTTCCACTGAGGCAGAATAGAGAGGGCTGTGTAGGACTGTATGCCTCGCGACGCTCATTTCCCAATCGCGTAATTCTCAAGTGAACCATTCTACCAACTGGGGTTCTCGGCAATTAAAAACTTGGGCGCCTTCGGAAAAGCTAGTCCCGACGATATTGTTCTTTCACCACGTTCTCTTTTTGTTTGCTCTTCCGTATATAGTGTGCCGGATTTTATGGAGCTTCTTGGCATTAGGATCACTATGGTATACACGGTATAACTACTTGAGCATGCTCACGGTATTAACGCGGCTTTTGTATAGAGGCATGATTCTTTTGTCGTCTGCATGCTTTAAGTTCTGACAGCCAGCATACCTGCACCCCTGTGTGTACTTACTTTCTTCAGTCATTCATTTTTGTGTCAGTGTATGAATGCCGTGTGACCAGACATGACATGCAAGGAAAGAAAGGTAACTTTTTCTTTGGAACGTTCATGACCAGAGGTAGGTATAAAGCAGACCCAGGTTACGCATCAACAATGATTTCAACACTTGCGTCAAAATTTTAATGGATAAGCATGATGGAAAATGCCATTATTGGGGTAATAGTGTGGTTTAAGTGGTGGCGGAAAACGTAGAGCAGCATTTAGGTTAGTCCGTTCAACCTAGTAGAAAATGTCCATCCGCAGGCAGGGATAGGAACCAAAACACACGGAAGGATTCTTCCGCCGAAGCTACCTTAATCAGTATGTTTGGCTGCGATACCCTGGCTGGCATCTCTGTAGGGACAGGACTTTAGGTGCTATTAGCCTCTTTACGAGAGCTAAGTCGTTAAAGATGATGGGAAATTGCAGCTGTAGCAACAGGATAATCAAGCTGGAGCTTTGAAGTGGTGAGCAACACAAAGAGCGCACGTCTACAGCCACAGACCCTCTACCTCCACAACTTGACCATTTGGATACCGATCTCTAGCACTAATTTCCAGGTGTAAATATACCCATTTGCCCTAGCTGTCATCATAACTCTAGGATTTTCAGCAGCTCGTAAAACCATGCGAACAAGTTACCAGTTATGATAAGTGTCTCCGTCGGTCAATACTCAGGAGCTCCATCTCCGATCCGCCAACGGTTGGGGGCGTATTGCGCTGTGGAATTTCCGCCCGGCTTGCACCCCGATGGAATTAATTACGGACCGAATTTATGTTACTACCAGCCCGCTAGATACAATTATGGCATGAATGTATAGGACTAGCGGTCTCTAGGTCGGTGGGGAGGGAGGTATAGAATAGGCGGGCCATAATACACCAGGTAAAAGTGCAAGCTCTAACGTCCGATTTACTATCTACAATTGAGGTTACCTACCGATAACGGTAGTGGATCTCTCGCGGTTTTTATAGCAGTAAAAAGGGAATGGTGAATCTTGATTGATAAGTACCATAGCTCAGGAGTGAATGGCAAAGCTCCAGGGCTACTCCATACACTGACTCCATACACTGTGCTACTCCCTATTGATACTATGTTTACTCCGTACAGCTATAGTAAAGACCTCGTTGATGGCTTAAGTTGGGGGGGCCAAAGTTGGGGGCCAAAGTTGGGGGCCAAAGGGTCTTAGCCCATTTAATATGCGGGTGTCAGTTCGGGGAGACTCGTAAATTGGCTTATATAATGTATTATTTTGGAGTCTCCCTCAAGTCCCAGAGCTGAGAGAGACTCGAAAATAATAAACGGGTTCCAGTTCGGGGAGACTCGTAAAAAGTTCGGGGAGACTCCAGGGCTCCAGGGCTCGTAAATTGGCTTATGTAATTTATTACTTTTGAGTCTCCCTCAGCTCCCGGGACATGAGGGAGACTCAAAAGTAATAAATTACATAAGCCAATTTACGAGTCTCCCGGAACTTTTTATGAACTGGAACCCGTTAATATGCCACTATACGGGTTCAACATGAAACAAATGACTTTGATTTGACCAGAGACAGATGATACTACAGAGTAAAGACTCGAGAGACAACACAGAGGCTATCAATAGGCCTTTTGGTGTAGAGAATACTAAAGTACACCACTTGGCATAAAGACCAATGGGTTGTTTCAAGTGCTAACTCCCTAGTCCGAGGTTTGTGACCTAGTCAGTAAACAACTAAAGTACGGAGTAGTGGACTTGCCCACTGTTAGTACTAGTGGGCCCTTAATTGTACAATCTTGCTGTCCTTTTCTCCAAGGTTACTTTGCCCCCACGTTCTAGCTAAAGGCCTTTTTACTCCTAGCAGGCGACTGACTACGCCTCACCTAGACCAAACCATGCTTTGTAGCGCCTACCATAAGCTCGCTGGCCCAGCGCGAGTTGTGGCTGTAATCAAAAAGACGATACCCGATAATTACCGTTCGACTACCAACTTATCTCATTACACCGGTCTCCTACAAGAAACAAATCTCATCCCCGACAAACCCGCACTATACTTCCGATGATGCGGACCGAGGGAACCTACTCCCTGGGACCAGCTTTATTACAGGCTGCCTGAATTGTTGTGAACAATGGAGCTGTATGTAAGATGTGTGCATATCGGGCTTGAGGGAAATGACGGTCAATAGCCTTCTGACGCTACCCACGGTCCAACGAAAAGTAGAAATACTTACGAGCAGAATTTGGGAAATCACCATCATTCTAGATCAAATCACAGCACGTAGGTCTAAACATGACAGCATCAAGTCAGACAAAATCATAGTCAACCCGCCGAAGGCTTTCTATTCAAGCCGTAGAGGCAATACGTCATAATCTATCGACATAATATCAAAGACGAACAGTGATGCGGATACTTCCCTGTCCGGGATATGCCGGAAACAACATAGTTACAATGCAAATCAAACACCGAGCGAACCTCATCACGCTGGGGCTGAGAAATGAAAACAAAAGAAAAAACCGAGACCTAGACGTTAAAAAAAGGTATAGAGCACCAAAGGAAATCGAAAATCGCTAACATGCACAAGAACATCACATATTGAGCAGGCTCATTTGTCGACGCATGGGATTGGGCGACAGAGCGTCCCCATCTTCACTGGGGCCGATGCCGCTATCTGTACCAGCAAGCGCGGTGTCCATATCGATGTCCCACTGTTCATCTTCATTGGGATCACTGCTCAAATCCGCGTCGGCATCGCCACCATCCCAGCTCTTCTGGACCGCGCCGCGGGTGTTCCACCGTAGAGCACGCTGGACGCTTGTGAACCATTCGTTGTTGTTGGAAACAACTGTTGGGAATGGGTACTGGCTAGCTTCGACAGTGACGTAGTCGCCCTGGCGGAGTTCGACGCGGCCTTTACCGTCGAAGGAGCAGTAAGCGGTGGATCGAGAGGATTTGGGGACTGCAATACGGAGGAGATGGGAGTCTGAGAGGACCATTGGGCGGAAGGAGAGGGTGTGTGGGCATATTGGCGTGAGGAGGATGCCCGGGATGGATGGGTGCATCAGAGAACCGCCAGCAGATAGAGAGTATGCCGTGGAGCCAGTCGGCGTGGAGAAGATACAGCCGTCGGCTTGGACAACAGTGAGTAGCTCGTCGTCGGCGTAGAGCTCTAGGTTTGACACATAGGGGGATGGGCCACGGTCGATGACGAGCTCATTCAATACTTCGAATTGCTCGCCCTCCTCGACAGCGCCCACCTCTGCTCCCTTGCTCCGGTCTTTCCGATATACGGTACATGTGAATCGCATGCGTAAATTAACGCGCATGCCCACCTCGCCCATAACGGCATTAAGCTGAGATTTGTAGTCGGAAAACTCGAAATTTGTAAGGAAGCCCAGACTGCCCAATGAAAAGCAGAGCACAGGCGGAACCACACGCTGAAAGAGCCAAGATGTGAAGAGAACGGTACCATCACCGCCAAGCGTCAGCACCAAGTCGAATTTATCCGGTGATGTCCAGCAAAGATCCGGTGTCCAAAAATGTAACATCTGCGCAAACATTGGGTCTTTCTGCAATAGGCCCGGAGCATCAAATCGCTTCGAATTTCGCAGCTTCGCATCTACGTAGACATTGACTCCTAATTCATTTCCATATCTTGAGGTCGAAAGTAGCCACTCGGCAACTTCCCGAGTCAAGTGCACCAGGCTGTTATCACGCGCCTTAGTGACAATCATGACATTTCGCACCGCCCGTTTGATAGGTCGGCGCTGTAGTTGCTTCGATACTTCACGGACTCCAGTTGCCGTCTGAACTAGTCGTGAATGGGACAGCCACTCGTCGTCGGCAATTTCCTCCAACACCTTTTTTATGTTGACAGCGTCATCGAAGCGTTGGTGGAAATAACATGGCGATTGTAGTATTAGACGTGCCGTGGTAGGTGATCGATCGAGATATCCGCTCAATTGAAGATTTGATAGTGCGGCGGAGAGGTTGTGGGAGGAATCATTGCTCCCCCGCCGTTGTCGGCTGTCGGAAGGCGGGGAAGCCTGGGTGGGTTTATTCGCGAGCATACTCGACAAGGAACTCGCCGACATATTGGTGTTATTTCCGAGGATCGAAGCCCGGGAGGCCAGGGCTTTCAAAATTGTCTGTCGCGGTATACAGTCGGTTGACAGCGCTTTCTTCGATCGCCGATTAATCGACTTCCGGCGGAACGACCGTGATATCGAGGAAGGCAGCGATAAGCCTGCGTCCTCCTCTTGAGTCGATTCGGATATTTGTGTAGAAAGCACGCTGTTGGTTCCTTGAGGGAGATGTGGGCGATCCTGGGTTGTTATGAGAGCATCGCGGAGAAGCACCGTAGCTGGGAGTGAGGCTTTGGTCGAGGATCGCGAGGGGTGAGAAGGGTGAGAGGGA